CTCCTCAAACTCCCATTATGTGGGTGTGAACATTTGTATATAGATTGGTATACGTGTGCGATCGTATATACAGTATAGGCGCGTCTCTCTCTCTCTCTCTCTCTCTCTCTCTCTCTTGAGAGCGCCTCGTTATCTGAAATTTATGCCGCTTCTCTCTGCCGTGTAAACATTTGCCATTGACCTTCCCTTTTGTGGACTCATTGTCGGCGGAGTCGTTTCTTTTTCACGGCCAAGGTCCTCTCCACCAGCTGGAACCGGGGACCTCCTCGGAATTCGGCGTGCAAATAAATTCCACCATCGAAACCCGGCCACGACGCACTCGCCTTTTGCGCCCGACACTAAATCCAATCGAATGTACATAAAGGAAAAAAAAAAAAAATATCCCAGACATAATCCCACCGACCCTGATTGTTATCTCATAATTTATGCACACGTATAAACACGCCGTATCCAGTCCTATGCATTTCTTTACAGTAATCGATACGGCTTGAATAACTAATAACTATACTTCGGATCGCTTCCATGCATACCTCTACTAAAATATTTCGACCGACGCCCTTAAGGTGATATGAGAGGGGCATTCTATGTATATAAAATGTAAAAATGTTAATAAAAGTTTTATAAAGAAGAAAATTTCACGAGCACCATGTTCTTCCTTAGGGTCTCCATAATCACGTGCTGAAGTTTCCAGCGGCTCGGTGCGCCCGGTTTGGAGAAGTTTTTTTTTTTTTATATTTTGACGTTTTGTACATAGAGGACGATTCATATCGCCTTGATAATACCTTAGAATAATTCACATTGTCTGGAATTAATTTACGTTATTATTTGGACTAACGGAACCGGACTGGCTTTCTAGGATGAATTTAAATCTTTATCGAGCCGCTTGATACGAGTCTTATGAAAGTCCTGAAACGAGCCAACGCCTCGGTCCCGCACTTGCGTAATTAGAGCCGAGATTAATGGCGCGCTGTCGCGGATCGGACGTTTAATAAAAATCCCGGCCGGAATCGATCGGCAAATCGTTTCCGGCTAAGGTAAAAGCGTGCCGATTATTATCTTACGGGTGGGGGAAAACTCGAGCCGAAAGAGTCGCGCACGCATTTGTCGCGCGGGGTTTATAAAAATAATATGCTCCCTTTGCCATTGTGAAAAAAGATATGTGGGGCGACCTTTCCCGGCGATGCACGCGGCAACGCTCTGGTTAATGCCAAGGCTCTCGGTGGGAGTGTGAATGCAAATTTCATCGAGGCCTTGAGAAAAATTGGCGCCAGCTGCTTCGCGATCCTCCTCCGTCTTCGGACGTCGAACGTGAAGAAAGTCCGATAAAAAAGTCCCGGCGATCGTTGCCTGATTTCCTACGACATTATATTTTATTTTTTATACACAAAATTTCCCCTCCGCAAAAAGATGCTCCTACGGGTCGTTCAACGGCGGAGACGCGTTTCCGCGTAATCCGTTTAAACCATTGACCAGTCACGAGCAACTATATTCAATTTGATCGCTTAATCGACTCAGCATATAACTCGAGTGCATTTCATTAGGGCGATGCAATGGCGAAAGGGTGCGGGCGAGTGTCACTAAATATAGCTGATCGTTCGGAGCCGCTATTCGGACGTCTTTTTAATCCGCTCCGATTATTCCTCGAGGCGCATCGCGGGAATTGAAAAATTGTAAAGTTAAAAAATTTCCAAGGGATGCCTTAGTGAAATTTAAATTTAAATAGGATTTTTTCCATTTTCCTTATCCGCCTTTTTTTTCTTTTAAATCTATTTTAGACGGGAGAAAATCGGCGTGGCTTATCTCGAAATAGTAGTTTCTCGGCTGTATTAACCGTGCATAGTTGCACCTCCTTGCCGGGTATGCAACACCCACCAAAGCAACTGCAATTGCAACGGTGATGTCATATGGCAATCGAAAGCGGCTCGGCTCGATCGTTTGAAGGTGTTAGCTCGACACGAGAGCTGAATGCAAGCCGGACAAAAAGTCGGTGCAGGCGTTGCACTTTTACCCTCTTCTGGTGCGGCGAAGTACCGCGAAGTGTCAACTCCCGCGAGGAATGCAACCTCGTGTCTTCGATCGAAAAAACGGCACCTTGAGCACTCCTAGAAAGGGAAGAAAAATCCAATTAAAACGAAGCCCCTAATTTTACTCGATCTACTTTCGGAACGATCCATAAAATGAGGCTCTTAAATTTCCCGTGAAACAATCGACATAAAAAAAAAATCATAGGTAACGATATTTAATATAATAAATAATTCATTCTCGGGACATAAAATTCTCTCGTCGATCCAGGCAGGTGTGAAGAAAATTGGTAGGAAAATCAGAGTACAGCGATCGGGAAATTTTGGTAAATAACGATATTTAATCCAGGAAATAATTTATTCTCGCGGTGCAAAATCTTGTTATGAGTTCAAATGTATCGGGGAGATCATTGAGATCATCGCTCGATGATCCTTTGTCCGCGGAGAACGAGCGCATCGGACGTCGCGATGACTCCATGTCGACGAGGGTGACACCCGGGAATGACACTCCACGTGAGACATTTTTCTAGGCCGATACGTCTCTTTATCCTCTCGAAGACGGATCGCGCTCGCTCCTCGACGAAGTCTTTGTCGCAGGCGTTTCAAGTTCAAGTTGATCCACGTTCGAGCGGCGCACGCACGGGCCTCCGTTCAATGTCGAACAACAACCTCTCTTTACTGCGTCTCGGAAGACTCGTTATCTCTCTCCTGGTGCGTCCTCGGTCGCGGCAGAGCCGGTAGAGATCCCCGCTCTCTCCCCCGAGCCCCGGAAAACCGGAAACAAGGAGAGTAGAAACATCGCGTCAGGCATACACATTAATCGGCGGGAAATCAGATTAATCGCCTCCAGGTGATAATTTCGTTAATTAACAATTGAGCCTAGAATAAAATTCGGTGTCTCTACGCAAGATTTGACGTTTGTATTAACACTTTCTACCAGGATTTTGTGTATACCTATTTCGACCAAAAGGCTTTGATGACCTGGATGGAAATGATACCGCTAAATAAATTTAACAATTATCGTACGAAAACTCAAAACATTAATTGAGAAAAAATTATTATACCTTGAAAGTAATTTCAAGTTATAATTTTAAAAGGGGTCTTTTGACACCTTTGGTAGAGATAGTGTCTTCTTATAATTCTTATATCGAAGGAGCGACGTCTGTCGAGGTTAGGATTTCAAAAGCCTGGAATTTTTCATATGTAAAGTAGATATTGAACTTAGAGGGACGCATTTGTATACCCGAGGACATGTTACTTGTATCGTATTTTTTAATGGGTTATTACAGTTCCTTATGTGGTATCCGAGACGGGGAAGAGAGGTTGGGTCGCCCTCGGGTTGCAGATACATTTTTCCCACGTTGCTTAGCGTAATTCGATAGACGGCTCGTCGCGAGCGTCCGATTAGGGTTTCAATGGCACTGCACCTGGCTTTGCCTTTCGCGCTATCTTATCAAACGTCATGCGCGTCGTAAAGAGGCGGCCTCGTTACTTTTATTCGAACAATGGAGCGTCTCTCGGTGCACCTGCCAAGGTGCATTGTCGCGCTTCCGGGTGGTACCCGGCTCGGCTGCAATTTTCCCCTGTCGAGTCGAAGGGACGCCATCTTGTCTCCCCTGTTAGACAGAGAAAAGAAAAAAAGGAAACGGTCCCGATAAAAAATGTCTGCAACCGCGCGAGGTTAATCGCCGAGCCTGTGCCGTATCGCCTTTCTCGACTCCTCGATTTCTCACCGAAGCAACGCGCACAAAGACCGCGAGGAATGATTTTCATCCTGCAGCTTCGCGATAAGCGAGCGCAATCGTAATCGTCTGGGAGAAGCGAAATGACGATAAGAGCGAAGACGCCCTTCGTTTCCCATTTTTTCGAACGACCCTCGGAAATCGTCCCTGCCGAATAAAAATTCAAAATAACGAACACGTGTCTTGTAGCGTCCTTGGGCTCAACCTGTACATCCTCGATTTAACGTCTTCCTCCTCGAAAGCCTCCCCTTGCGAGTAGCGTGTACATAAGACCGAGAAAAATCTATCACTGAGTCAAGGAAATACTTTTATTATTTAATAAAATAACTGTCGGACTCGAGCTCGAGCAAATTGGACGCAGCGTTTCTTCGGAATGATATGCAAACTTTATATGTATATATACTTTCAGTTTATCTCGGTCCAGGTCAATTATTCTTCGAATTGACAAAATATTTTCGTGAGTTGAATATCTTGCTTCTCGGTTTAAGAGGCTTTGTTATCTCGTGAATTCGCATTTTCACGTTCTCACTCCCCGGGGTATCATTTCTGGGGAGTGACCACTGTTGAACCATCTGATTGGAGCGAGGCGGCCTGAAGAACATTTGAGCAACATTTGGCGATGGCCAATGCGAAGCACTTTTTCGAAGGAGTGTCCTGCACGTGGTTAGGAAATAGCTAAAGAAAGGACTGGGAATTTATGACCCCGATCAGGGGGTCGTCAAAGTGGCCGCTTCGGGGTCTGCCATGGCGACGCATTTCCAAAAGGGCATCGTATGGCTAACAGACATCGCGGACCTTCTCCAGGATTCGAGGAAGTCCTGTGCCGACCTGGAGAAACGAATCTTTGGGAAATGCTATCCTGAAGTCAGCCAATCAGGGCTCGGCATCCCAAGTGCATCCCTTCCTATGTTTCGACAGAGGAAAGGGAAGAAAGTGCACCGAGAATGCAACTTTCCATATTTTTTAGGATTCAGACTCAACTAGGGCTTCGAACAATTCGGATGTTTCCTCTCCGCATCGGGACTTAGAGCGTAACCTCTCGCGTATTCTCCATCCGTTAGTTTATTAGTACAATAAATTGTTGTGGTTTTTATTTAAACTCATGCGTGGTGGAAATTCAACGAACTCTGAATTTACGCGCCAGGAGTCTATATCAGCGCTCATTTTCAAACGGCGCAAAACAACCACGGTCTATGGAGGGTGGAGGGTGTTAACCAGGGTTGGTGACGCGTTGCAGGTGTCCCCGACCCGGCGGCGTCTGAACCAGCTCGACAGCTGATCGTCGTGCGGAGCGGCGGTGAACGGGCCCGCGTCCGCACCACCGACCCCCCACTCCTGCGCCCGTCACGGGCCCTGGGCCCGACGAATCAGGGGGCGCGCCGACCTTGGGGGGAGGGGGCCCTAGGGCCCCGCAAGACCGGCGGGGACCGGGGAGGCTACCTTGGCTCCGGGACTCTCCGCCGGCAAGGGACGACGCGCCATCATGGTGAAGACCTTTCAGGCGTACTTGCCCTCCTGCCACCGCACTTACTCGTGCATTCACTGCCGCGCTCACCTCGCCAACCACGACGAACTCATCTCTAAGGTGAGCCGCCCTGCCTAAGGTAACCACGGACTTCTATTACCACTCGTTCCGCCCGCTGGCGGGTGTCGTGCTTCGCCATAGATCTAGGAAAAAAGGGACGTCAGGTGTCGCCGCAAGACCGGGTAAATTGCAAGGACTACCACGGTCGCATTTACACGAAGTCAAGTTTGCGCGACCAGTAAACCAGTAACGCACAACGCGATCCTGCGTTTAGGTATCAAGTTTGCGCTGCGTTCTTTTATTCCTAGATCCGTGCACTTTTTCTTTTCATTTTATTTTATTTTTTTTTAAGAAAGATCATGACGCAGTCTCTCGGTCGGCCGCGTCGCTGACTCCTGTCGGACTGGGAGGGGTTTGGTTTTAGCTTGACATCCAGCGGGCGTCACACAGCGCGCGTCGACCAATCGGCACTCCGTATAACTACTCCCAAAAAAAAAAATAATAATTCATCAACCTGAGAAATATTTCTTTAAATAGCACCGAAGGGAATATCTTGTCAATTCAAGGAATAATTATTCTAGCCGAACCGTTATTCTTTGAATTAACGGTATATTGACAAGATATTATTTAGTACTATGTAAAAAAGATATATCTTCGGTTTAATGAGAATTTTCTAGGCGTAGTGCCACGGAAAATGCGCTCCGTGTGACACCCGACGCACTCTGTGGGACTCCACCGTTAACCAAGGTTCTCAGGGGCGGGTGTATCTAATCAGGCCCCTCGGTCTTCTTTCTGTTTCAGTCCTTCCAGGGCAGCCAGGGTCGTGCCTATCTCTTCAATTCCGTGTAAGTTGGGCGCCACTTTAAAAGTTAAAAGAAAAAAAATAAGATTACCTGCCAATATGACGGTTTTCGAGAAAGTGAATTCACGTCTTCTGGTTCTGTTTTTCAGGGTTAACGTGGGTTGTGGTCCCGCGGAGGAGCGAGTCCTGTTGACGGGCCTCCATGCTGTGGCCGATATTTACTGCGAGTGCTGCAAGACCACCCTGGGGTGGAAATACGTGAGTCCTTGTTGGTCCCAAACCTAAAACATAACCTAAAAGCAGTGCTGCCCCCTGACGCGATTGTAACGGATACCAGAGAACATCGGAAAACGGGAGAAAGTTCATTTATCTTTTTATTGATCACTGTTGATATCAGCGGATTAAAAATTACCATTGTATTTTTTCTTCCAAAATCTCCTCTAGATGGTGAACTCTTGTCATTCACTTGGAAATTAGTGAAAACTATTTCATTGTTTCAGAGCCGATTGGCTCTGATTTCATATAATAAATAATAAGGCGATTCGGTAACAAGCGGCCGTGGGTCTTAAATTTGTCATCTCTAACGATTTCCAGGTGATGTCAAAGGTTAAAATACATGATTTTCTGAGTAAATATCCCCTCGAGTTAACCCTGGTAGATCTGTTTCGATCGGCACGGCAGTTGGCAGCCCTGCTTAAAAGAAACGAGAAATTAACGAGGCGCCATTACGTTTCCCAGGAGCACGCGTTCGAGTCGAGTCAGAAATACAAGGAGGGCAAGTTCATAATCGAGCTGGCCCACATGATAAAGGAGAATGGATGGGAATGAGCGATCGCCGTGGAGTCGGTGTCGGTCGCGGTCCCGGGCGGAGGAGAGCGACCGGGCGACGTCGACGCCATCCTGAGGAGCCTCCTCCCCGTGCCCCCCGTCCCGCCCCCGACGAGCCACCAACGAAAGTCTGTGATTTCATTTGTGATTTCTAATCTTAGTAACGTTTTTGCGTTTCTCCCTCGGGACGCGACGATTTCCGGGGCCGTTTCTCACATCCGCCTTTGATTTCCTCCGACACCGACTCGAGCTCGGCCACGGGGACGCCGGTCCGCGACGCCGGCGGATCGTGGCCCAAGTATTGTAAAGAAATTATTTTTCAAAAAGCGACACACGTACACAGAGAGAGGGAGAGAGAGAGAGAAAGGAAGAGGAGCAAGAAGAGGAGGCGAAAGAACGTTCAAGATAGAGCCAGGACGCGAAGACGACGAGGGCGCGATGGCGCCGACAAGATGGCCGCCGTCGTCCTCGCTCCGAGCCGTGGGGTGCCCCCCAACTGATTTTAATTTATTGCCGAGCCGCGATAAAACAGAAATTTTAACGCGCGGGGCACCCCATACGCCCACGACGTCACCGACCCCCCGGCGAGAAGGCGGCAGCGTCGCGGCGGAGGGGAAGCCCTCCCGGCGGGTCGTGGGGTGCCCCCGACGGATATTCGGGTCGCCGCCCGTTCGCGGCGATTCGAGGGATTTTACCGCAAGGGGCACCCCGCACCTAACCTACGTCACTGAGCCCAGGCAAGATGGCGGCGGTGTCGCGGCGATCGAGAGCCAGGGAGTCGTGCCGATCCCCGAAAACCTCGCGAAAAGGGTTAACACCCGAGTAACGTTTCTAGGCCTCTGGGTCTGGACAAAATAGCGGCGTCACGGCGACCGGGAAGAGCCGGAGGAATCTCGCGAACAGCCTGGTTGGTTATCGTTACAACGCCTCTGGGTCTCGGCAAGATGGCGGCGGCGGAGGCTCGGCCACTGGAGGGACCTGATGACAAACCGCGGACGAAGAACTCGAGACTAGCGAGTCGATTTCGACTCGTCGCCGGTTACGAAGTTCGATCTCACCTCACCTGCCCAGGGTGCACCCGAAGGCCCGAAAGGGACGACCCGTTACCTGTCTAAGAGGATATCCGGCCAATCTCACCTGTCGCGGACTTGGACGTCCCGAAACAGCCGGGGAGGTGATACACATTAAAATCCGACTGAAACCGGAGGCATCCGGCACCGACGACCCCGAAATTAATTATTTATACAATATCGCCACCTTATGTGGAATTCACCATGAGCGGAATGTCTGCTGTCTGAAAAATCGAGTATCCTAGCAGCGGCCTCGCTCGCCATCGATCGTCGGTCATCGATTACGAGGAATATCTATCGCCGACTGGAAAATCGATATTGGAGTGGAATCATCGATTGGAGAACTCGTCCTTGCCTCGATTGCGTCGAGACACACACTCTCTAGGGTCGACCGAATTCTCGGGTCGACGTCGCTCGTCCTCGAGCACACTTTGGACTTGGAAGAGAAATCAACGGGACGGGGCACCCCCACGCCACTGGGCCGACGCCAGCGCCGCTCGCGGACTTCGCCCGCACGAGACTGTCTGCCTGCCGCGTGTCTATCATTGGAATTTCACTGCCGATATTCCTAATATTAACGTTTAAGCCGCGCTGCGCCGCGCGTAGGCGTCACAGCCGTAGACCTAGCGTTAGCCTACATTATAGCGTACTAAAAGCCTATATAATACGATATTATAGGACTCATGGATGTAGGAAATAAGTGTCAGAGTAAGAGCGAGAGACGGTAGAGGTATCTACAGGGTGTGGCGAAACTCGATCACGATTTACACGTCTCTATCAGAAATGCGGTCAGAAAATCTTGTATTAGGTTGAGGAATAAGTTTCCGCCGTTTAATTATGTTACGTTACGTCAAAAACTACGGGAACTTATTCCTCGACCTAATACATACTAAAAAGAAAAATTGTACGTCGGTCTTCGACTCCATTTCCGACGTGAATAGAAACGTCTAAACCCTGGCCACGAGTTATCTACACCTTGGGTATACGCATATATAATCTCGTCAAATATATGTACATATATTCGACGAGAACGAGAAAGAGAGAGAGAGAGAGCGAGAGAGAAAATTATTGGGAGAGAGAAGAGAAGAGAGGTCCAGGGTCGGGTGTTCGAGTTTACGTTCACCATGCCTGCCAAACAGTCTATTCGTCTGCCAGTTGTCACTATTACTATTAAATATAAACGTATAAAGGGCCCGGGCCGTTTTCTACGAGACCATCGGGGATGGTGGATTTGTTTTGACCCCTTCCCTGATGAACTTCTCATCGGTCGGTCGAAAAGCATCACATATTTTAATTGTCCGTAGTGAGTATTTTTTTAACGCGCCGAGGGGGACGGATTACGACATTGAAAGGTTTTGGGCACAACGGCTTGGCGAGCGTCAGGGAAGAGGTTGAACGCTCGAGATGAGTTCAAAGGGATCACCAGTTGTTATTTTGAGGGATCTGTACCGAAAACGAGGGTATTCGAGATATGAGCCCACGAAGAGAAAATCGGCGAGGCAGGAGTTTGCGAGAAATATGGTCGACGGTTATCGTTTGCGCTATGTGTTAAGGCGATCCGCACTATCGGTGACAATTTGACGAGACTTTGTAACATGGTTAGATGATTCATTGTTCAGACTATTCGGCATGGATTTTCATTATGTTTATCTTATGCCAGATGGGGTGAACAGTTGTTTCGAATTCGAGTCGGTGAATTCTATTCGACGTCATTGGGGTGCATCGGCCTTAAAAGAAATCGTCGGTTGGAATGTGCGTAGCTGGCTTTTATCGGTTTCTCATGAATGGTGTCATTGTTTGTGACAAACGACTTCAAGAGTCGTGCGAGTTTGTCGAGGATTTTCTTGTTGCAAGTCTAACTCTCGATAAACTCTCCTCGCGAGAAGTTAGCGTCCTCTTGAGTTACCTCGAGACTCGATTCATCTCCTCGTCGTTGATGCAAGAAATTCTGCACTGCGAAACTCGGAGGATAATCCTAGGAAGGAGAGACAGCGGTTTCTCTCTTCGTTAATGCCGCGTTACTCGGGGTAGGTTGAAGTAATCGGTTAGCGTGGGTCGTTTACATTTGTCAAGGGTGGAGTAGAGGAATCGTAGCTGGCAGGGAAAACATGAGGAAAACTTTGAGAACTTTCCATGTGGGATCTGGTTTGTGACACGCGTCTCTCCATTCACTGATATAAGACACTTGCCCCCGGGGTTTTTCTCGCGTGCACTGAAAATATGGAAAATCTATTTGAATGTGTGTTATCGTATGGAGGGATGGAAATTACCACTAAATGAGACAGGTTCACTTTAGCGCACGGGAGAGGAGCCCGGAAACGGGAATCGAAAGAGAAAATGAAATATGCCTTAAAAATCCAAAGCGGAGGCCAGTGCTCACTACTTCTAACGCCGATCTCATTTGTACATATGCGACCGAGGTTTGGCGATTTGCACCTCTTGGCTGGCGAGCATTTATTGTTTCGGAAAAGTGTAATTTTTTTTTTTTTCCCGGACCGGTATTTTGTCGCGGCCAATTTTTTGGACGCGGACACGATCCCGCTTCTAGATTGGCGAGTCGCGACGAGAGCGGATTGGAAAAGAGGGGAAAAAAGGGAGACTCCTACAATTCGCGGGATTAAATAATAAATCGACCTTGTTCTTAAATCTGCGAGTCGACTGTTATTATAATCGCAGGGTCACATCGTAGCCAACTCGAAGACAGATTCCATTAGTTCGGGGACATTTAGCCAGGCAACTCTCTCTCTCCTGTGCAATTTCAGTATCTCCTTCGCTGACCTGGACTCGGTTGGGCTGGTCGAACATATTTTTTTTACATTCATTGAAACAGAATTGGAATGATAAGTGCTGTAAGGAAATATCATTGTAATTAGGTACAAATGAGGAAGTAGGTCGCGAGGACATTATTCATAACTTTCCTTGATGTTACGGATTAGCAGTGCTCGTTTCACCGGTACGTGCTCTTAGGTGCGTAAAGAAACAGACAGTTAACCTAAAAGTGGTCCAACCGAGCCCTGGTCGTCTTGTCTTTTGTCTTATTGTTAACAGACAGTGCGTGGACGTCGTTACTAATGTTATTTGTGAAAGATAAAGTTTTCTACATGCGTTCGATGTAGAATCGGGTCGTTAAGAGTGAGAGTACTGTTCTGTCGGAATATGTATATTTAACAGATATATTTGCAGGTGTCGTGTCTTGACACCGGGTTTCCGTTTTAACTCGTTTCGGTTACTTGTCTTTTAATTTGGAGACTTTCCGTATTGGGGGAAGTTGAGGTTATGGAGTTGATCGACTTATGCTAAGTCTTTACAGAGAGTGCTCAAGAGTGTTTTGAGCAGAGCTTACGACGTTAAACGATATTAACACTTGAGTTTAGACTGAAAAGTGATACGTGTCCGTATTCGTTGTATTTCGAATTAGAGAGCCAAGCAAGTGTTGTGCAAGTTGTCCTAACCTCAAAAATATAGGTTAGGTTCCTCGTAGGTTTCGTCAGATTGAAGATGCAATAAATATTGACACGACTTGGGCCAGTCAATCTTTTGAGAAAGAAACGGACGTATATATTCGAAAATTTGTTATTCAGTACATCGGACGGAGAATTTCAAAGTGTACCATCATTTATCAACTTCAAAGTGGATCGATTGGTCCTCAAATAATGGGATTATTCGCAAAAAGCCAGTCTACGTTGTACTGTTCGTTAATGGAAGTAATATGAATCAATCTACGAAGTGGATAATGCCGAATCATAATATATGAAGACTTAACGTGAAGCTGTAGTGGGACTACAAACACTCGGCACGTAGCTAAGTACCTTTTATTTGCATAAACAGTATGCAGGTAAAAGTTACATAGCCACGCCACAGTTTATCGATACATATATCTGTATATATATTTTATGTTAAATAATTGTGCAGTCTAAATTTTTGCAATGAAAGTACAAGATGGATCTTTGTAGGCTAGACGTTGCTGTGGATATATATTTCACTCTGAAAGCAGAACAAATCGATAAATTTATAAATGTTCATAATGTAGAGTAACGTATCCATCAATATCCCGATACGACAAAATTATATAGGTTATTCTAGATGACAGTGAAGGAACGATATGCCGAATAGTAGAATAGTTTGACATCGGTTGGAGTATCGCGGGTGTGATGGCTTTATTTTGCACATTTTTTACCACTGTAGACAGACTGGATTCTCTTAGAGCAGTTGCAAAGGTTTTCCGCTAATATACAAGAAATGGATTCGATATTAGGCGTAACGTAGATGGGCAAGAATTACACCATGGGATAATATTTTTTATTCGGTGTGAGACAAAGCGTGTCTTACTAGTTTTGACGTGTAGAAATCACATTCAATTGTTAACGCCTCGCAGCACATTTAGGTTTTCTTTCTCCCTTTATAATGGGTTGCACAGATGATTTGTTTAATGGCAAATTCAATGATACTTTTAGAGGTTACTTTTGGCGTTTCTGCATGAGTTTTAACGGCAATACATAGATGCAGTACAGCAGTTTTGTACACCACGTAGTCGTCTAGTTAACAGAAAGTAGGGCGTAGAAGAAATTTTTAATCTTGGTGAATAATACGGTGTGCAAACCTTAAGGTATTCATTCGAATTACTAGAGTTTCGTTAAATTTTCAAACAAAATGTTTGAGAACAACGCAGGTTGTTTGGTATGGCACGAGACTTCTCGATAATGATACAGCGCTCTATAGTGTCCATTGCTACGCACTGCTCAGAAGATACGATCTCTAAAGAAGAAGATGCAAACGATCATACACCCTCGAAAAAAGCTTACTACGCTAGGTCCATAAAACCAAGGTCATGCATTTCTTTCGTTCACATTCCCAAATTGACCAAAATTAACCTGAATTGTAGACACACTATTTTAGACACCTTTCAATCAGTTGAAAATCCTGCATTCAAGTTAACAATGCTATCACCTGTGTTATCACCGCCACGACTTTGACATCTGGGAAACTCAGAAACTAGCTTAATTCGCGAATAATCCCGAGTTCAACAGCCCGGTACTAAACTCATCAGAGATCCGAACGCGTTCAACAAAGGCGTCCGAAGTGTCTAAATTCAGCGGATATGAAGATAAATATATATACATATATATATATACACATATATACATATACTATGTACATTAGCCGTTTCCGAAATTTCTCTCGATCTTAATCTCTCCTATTTATTTTTGACAATTAAACGAAACATTGCGAGAGTACGATCGGAGGTCTCAGAGATTTTTCGTAAACATCCGTTCTCATCAGCGAAGCTTCGAAGGAAGTTTTCCAGCTCTGAAGTTGTCATTCGAAGAACCTCTGAGTCTTACTGCGAGCCATTAAATACAATCCGTTTCAAACGTTGCTCGTATTTTATTTTGTAAGTAATAAAAGCAAAATCAAACTCGCCGATAATATACAACTTATCGTTACATACTCATTGTTGTACTCGTTTGAGGTTAAGTCATGTTAGGAATTGGGAAATTTTAGGGTCTTCGAGTTTCCTTTTTTATTACTCTACCTTTATTAATGTGAAGTTTGCGAGAGGAGTCAGTGGCTCTCAGTCGGATAGATTGGAGCTGGGAGAGACTTGGAGTTTCGCCAATCGGATTTCCCAGTCGACAAGACTTGCGTTCGTCTGATGAGCCAATAAGCGTGTATTTTCTCCACTGCGTGAAATGCGGATCGGTTGTGACGAAGGGCAAGATTATTCCGGAGTACAATACGGCGAAACAATAAGGTGATAATGGCGATTGTCGCGGGAACGAAGAAACGGCGACGAGTAACGTAGGCATGCGTGAGACTGCAACGCGTCTTGTAAGAATTAAGTGTGAATGTGGAGTGAATGAGTGAGTCGGCCTAAATCCTCACGCTGTCTCTCAGAGAGTACTTTTTTATATTGATGTGCCGAGACCCTCGCACGGGAACACACGTTATCACGTATTCATCCCTCAGTGAGATGCCTTCTCACAGCCCACTAATTTCTCCCACACCCCCCGGAGCCCATCGATGTCCTTCACCGATGCCACCATCACCCACCGCCATCGTCACCGTGCAACTTTGCTTTGTAAGACATGTTCGTAAGAAAAATAAAAAGAATATTTACTCGACAGGCTGTCGAACTGCTATGCGAACACCCCGATACTTCATCGAATGTAGACCTTTGGTTCCAATTTTATATTGGAGACATTTTGGATTACGGTATAAATTCTATACTATTTTATTCTTGTAATATATCGCATTACAAACTACGATTGTCTTTTTCGGCACTTAAAAGTGAACACAGTTACAATCTTATAAAATTATCACCCGAATCTTCGTGAAATTGCATTTAAAGAACGATCTCTCTACTAACTTGTTCCTAAGTACTTGATCGAAAGATAATTGACGTACTGGTGAGATCAATGATTTTTCCTACTTTTTACTATATTCTTAAAATATTGCAGTTTAAGTATTGCATATACTTATCAAGATATATGACTAAAAACAAAGAATTCATCTTCGCATCAATTCTTTGGCCCACTATTCACCATTCGCTATAATTGATTTTCCTTTGAACTTCTAATTTCATAATCGACGTCAATGACGTCGATACATTGTCTTTTGATTTGATTTATGGTACCTTGGCAGTGCCCTGTTTTTAGGCATCCTAAAATGCTTTTGCTCTGTTATAACTATAAATGTCGAGTATATACAATATACACTTTTTACGATGGTATAAAAATATAGAATCGCCGTCTTAAATACTAGAGCTTATTTTTTAACACAGGTTGAGTTATTCCTCATGAGCATTGGCGGAAGAGAAGAGGATCTTAAATTATTAAGTCTTTTTGATTGTGTATGATCCAACAACCATTCGATAAGGTGGCCATTGCATGTCTTCATAGCTTTCTTTAGAAATACATTAAACCATTTGTCGTTGCAATCCAGCCTACATCCTAAAAAATATTGCGAAATTGTATCAATTTTTTTATTTACCACTCAATGAAAGAAAAATATTAACTGATTAACTCTGATTTTGGATAACTAAATTTACCTGCTTGATAAAGTAAATCAAGGCAAGAAAGATCTTTCACCCTGGGATTATTTATGTAGTAATGCAATGCCACACAAAGAGCATCCTCTCCTGCTCGTGTTTTTTGGAAGGGATTGGCACCTGTAATAGGAAGAATGTAAGCCAATCAGATCGATAACGACACAATGCTTCAAAATACCTTTTGCTAGCATGTACTCCACTAGGCACGTATGACCGTTGTAGCAAACACGCTGAAACGGAGTTAGGCCATTTAGAGCGCACCTTGCATTGACGAGGTATGGACAATAAGTAACCAATTCAATACACTTGAGCGCGTACTGAGTCTTATGACATCTCTAGGAGAGTATAAATATTAGCGATACATTCTTGAATTATATATTCATTAATATTTACTGCTATTGTGACATAGCAGCGAGAACTTACATCCGAGGCAATTTGTAAGTCATTTAACAATTTCTTGTGGTTGAGGATAACGTCGCCTTTATTCATTGATGCAATACTGAAATCCCTCTTCATATCGTTACCTTCGCAGCATTCAATAACGGGATCATACCTTTCTGAAAGCGAATTATATAATATTTTGTATTGATTCCTTAATGTATCAGGCTCAGTAGGCATTATTATATATAAATACATGGCGAATGAATGACCGTTCTGTTAACAACAAACTCACTTCTAAGCTTGAGCAGCATACTTGTGACCACGGCAATAACGAGCAACACTGTGCACACTGCTGCACCGCTGGTGTCCATAGATTTAAGCGACTCTTCCGTCATTTTTACTAAAGTATCAAAAATTGTCACGTTACTGTTTATCTCCTCTAATGGTACGGCCACATTTTTCGTCACATTTCGGTGCAACAAGGCAAGAACTGTCATTTTCGCACTTTTCAATTCTTCTGCCATTCCCGCTCTAAAATCGCGTGGCAAGCGTCGTTTTTCACAGTTTATGAGGCGAAAGGTAACTCCAATTAAACTTGACTCCAAGCTTTATCGGCCATTTTGAATTTTTAGATTCAAACACGATTGGCAGTTTCCACTATTGGAAACCTTCCATTGGTTCACTCCGAACGAGGAAAGCCAATCACTTGGCGGCATTCAAATGATAAAATGGATCATGTTATTAATATTAGTTAACAACCTTTTGCAAAGACGAAAGGTCTTATCATCATGAGTTGATAAATGGGGTTAAGCATAGCTCTGATTGGCTTATCATCGTCGATGTGTTGGCGCGCCGCATTCCGTGTGACACTCGACGCATTCAGTAGGACTGTAAACTATGAAGACAGAGATGAGTTGGGAGATTGCTCGAGCACCCACGTGTAGTTTTGCCTGTATCATTTGCAGATAAAAAAATTAAGTAAGTGAAGGGTAAAGTGAAAGAGGGCGCCACGAGTGTTCTTCCCTTAATATCAAATGCGAGCAGTGTCGGTAAGCGTAAGTAAGCCACCATCGTCAACTGCTGCATGGTATTACCATCACGAGTACGTGAGCCGCCAACGGCAACTGGTAGATGGCACCGCCATCGCGAGTGCGTGAGCCCCTACCAGAAATTCATTGCGCCGTCTTTGGGGGCAAAAAACGGTGAAAGCTAACGTACGAAACCAGAGGGCAGCACAGAATGCGATCGCGCTACCCTGCCCGTGAGCAATCTCCCAACTCATTTCTGGCGAAGATGACCGCACGTTGTTGTTTATGACCATTTATGACGTTATGACCGCCAAATTTATTTGTAGTAAATTTCTCAAAAGAAAAAGGAGATAATGCCTTTGTTTCGTCGTTCGTAGGAAACCTTTCGCGGCCTTGATATTAATCTGGAGTCGTCCCTTAACGGTGACTGATAAGTAAAGTTGAATATCGAGTGAGAACATGTCACCGCCTCGAAGAAAGTCATGAAACGCGTCCAGACAATTTTTTGAAATTAATTCAGTTTCATGCAAAAGCCTTCATTACGTAACGCGGATATAAAGTCCGTAAGAGAATGTCGAGACACGTTATCGCATGTCATGGATGATAAGCAACGAAACGTTAAGCTGACAAGACTGCTGAAACAGAGACGTCATTTATAGGTTATCCCCGTCCCAGATATGGCCAATACTGGATTGCTGATTCTGACGAATCCAGCAAAGGTTGCTAAACTGCTGCCGATAGTGAAGGAACACGTATTAAAGACTTTGTATATTCAGTACTTTCCGGAAAGGAATGTCCTTCTTCCAGGAAATTGTAGCCTACAGGCTCAACTCTGGAGAGGACCTCAATACAGTCAGACCATGGCACGGATCTATTCTCTGGCATCCGTGTTCCCCTCTCGGCTGGATGTGCGAGTGCTACTTTCTAGCATGAAGAACCCTAGCGTATCTATTATCAATACTAAAAAACCTGTGGAGATAGTGATTTTCGATCGGACTTATAGTAAAAATGAAGCAAATACCTTCATACAAGATTGTCTGTCAAATACGTCGATGGGTTGCAGTTTTGTTACATTTGACGGTGATAAAGAGCAGCAGCGGAATGGCAGCAAAGAGGATCGGCAACACGAACTTGATCAAATATATGGGAACGTCGTACTAGGAGGTACGTTTGATCGCTTGCACAATGGGCACAAGATCTTCCTCGGAGAAGCTGTTCTTCGTTGTTCAAAGAAACTGACAGTTGGCATCACAGACGAGAATATGATATCTGGTAAGCACTGATTTCCTAAAGAAAGTAATACCATGTAAAATTATGAATGAACACTAGTTTCTTATGTTCAGGCAAGATTTTATGGGAACTAATCGAACCTTGTTCAAAAAGGATATCGGTTGTAAAAGATTTTCTAGAAGATGTTGATCCAACATTGAAGTACGATGTAGTTCCAATTAATGATATATATGGTCCTACTAAGGACGACCCTACCTTTGAGATGATAGTAGTCAGTGAAGAAACCAAGCGTGGAGGCGACAAAGTTAACGAACTGCGACAACAGAAAGGTCTTAGTAAGTTAGATGTTCACGTGGTTGAGTTGGTAAAGGATCAACTATGCCAGGAACACGAGGAAGCTAAAATCAGCTCTAGTAATCACAGAATGCGGTTGCTTGGCACAAGACTTCGCAGACCAGTAAATATTTTTTGCCATTTAAAATGTGTGCAATGATAATTCTTTTACTTATCATATGTTAAAATAGGTCTTTGATGACTATCTTATCTGCAGAATTTAAGCGATAAAGATTTAAAGCCTTACATCATCGGGCTCACTGGAGGTATAGCAAGTGGAAAGTCTTCGGTAGGAGATAAATTACAAAAATTAGGAGCAGGTCTTGTAAATTGTGATCGAATTGCTCACGATTTATACGAACCAGGCAAACAATGTTATAACTTGATCGTCGAGCATTATGGATCAGGTATTTTGAAGCCCGATGGATACATCGACAGGAAAGCTTTAGGTAGTTTGGTATTTAATGACAGGGTGAGTAGAACAGTAAGATATTTACATAGAAATGGAATATTTTACAACTGTTTTAATGTTAAATCATAAAATAACATGTGAAACATTGTTACAGGCCCAGTTAGATAAATTGAACAATTTGGTATGGCCTGCTATTTTTGAAGAAGCACAAAAGCAAATTCGGGAATACCATAAAAAAGGGTTCGATGTTATTGTGCTAGAAGCTGCTGTATTGATTCAAGCTCACTGGCAACATGTTTGTCACGAGATTTGGACTTGTATTATACCACAGGATGAGGTACTATCTAAGCTAATTAATCAGATATTTTCCTTGTCTATTTATTAAAAATGCAGTGTTATTCATATACGTATATACATTCTTTTTCAGGCAGTAAAACGCGTAATTGAAAGAAATGCATTAACAGAGGAAGAAGCTAGACTGCGAATTAAATCTCAGCCTACTAACACCGAGCAAATAAATGAAGCTCATGTTGTAATATCCACTTTGTGGAGTCATGAGTTTACCCAGCAACAAATTCAAAAAGCGTGGGATTCGGTGAGGGAAGATTTATCATGCTCAACAAAAGGCAATCAGGCCTAAATGTGCTACAAAAAAAAAAAAAAACCGTTTGCAAGTGCCAGTGCTAGAAATATTTAGCGTAAAAATTCTTTTTTTTTAAGGGCGATATCAAAACTCGTAAGTATAATGTTACGTGCCGGGATTATTTTAAACGAGGCTCCATATGTAGTACACATATGCAAGATGCTTCTTGGGTGTCAGGCTACCTTTCCACATAGTATGGTTACAATTTTGTAGCATTATTATTTGTAATTATTCAAAGACTTGCTAAACTGATGTAGGTATCTTGAAGGAAAAAAAAAAAAGAAAAAAAAAACCTATATTTAGTTATTGAGCGAGCAATTCACAAATTACAAAACAATAAGAAGGATCTGTAACCACGTACAAAACAGACATTGTGATATACCATTGGTTGTTGTGTCAAACTATGTTACACAGTATTGTTAAATAAAACCACCTGCGTTAAAGTAGGAACGATTCGACGTTACTATGTCTCCATACGTTTCTAAAGAATTAGCTAGTTTAATTTAATACTTGATCGATAACTTCCTAACGGGCTCCACCTGGTCTCACTTAACGAGAAGAATATTGTCCTCTACGATGTTGTTCTCTTCTTGATCGGTGTGCTCCTGCAGTCTCGTCACAAGGGTGCCCAAATACGATTGGAAATCCCGTTTTAATTTCTCCCCACTTTCCTGTACGTTGCAGCTCACCTGAGCAACTTTAGCGAACGTAGACGCTGGAATCGTAAGAGAAACATTATTACTCCATTAACGACAATCATACTTAAATAAATCCATTTTCCTTTCGTCGGCATTAAAATTTGGAACATGAACCGCCAGACTTCCCACTAGACATTTAAGAATTTCCAGCTGTATTTACGTAATTTTTTGGGAGCTTCGGGTGAATCGTTCTCGGGATCGAAATACAGCACCACGCAAGCATTGGGCCCGAGTCTGGTTTGATTGACAAAGTAATCGTACAGCTGTTCCAGCTCTCGCGGGTAATCTTGAGATTTTTCATTATATACGAAAATGACACCATGCGCGTCTCTTCTCATAGCGGGCCAACAAAACTCATACCTGGAATAAATGAATTTTATGCGATCACCCCAAAATAAAAAAATAGAAAACCAATTAAGACAGTTAACACCACATTTTCACATGAAACGTTACTTATGATCACCGCTACAGTCCCAAAGTTCGATGTCGACCTTAAGTCGAGCCGCTTTTGTGCCGCAATTCTGAGCTTCGAACTCCAAAATTCGAACGCCCTTCGTCGGTCTGTACTCCGGTGACATTTCCGTGGCATCGGCGAGAAAATTCGAAATCGTGCTCTTACCAGCCTTCGATTAAAGTAAAAGAATACCCTGATTTATCCGAGTGTCATATATATGTATATATATATTACTCGTCAATTTATAACCTCACCCCAACCGGTCCCACCACGACCAGCTTCAGAACTTGCATATTGTTAATGCAGAAGCATGAAATGCGCCGAGAACTCGGTACTAATGACACATTGTTTTGACATTGGTTACCATGGAGACCAATGTATACAAAAGCTGGAGAAGCAGAATTCTATTCTTCGCAATGCGCATGGCAACGTGACGCAATTGGTTGCTTGGATCACGTGGCGATAAAATATACTCTACGTTTCTATGCGCAAGTGCAAACAATTTAAGGGCGATATTTGATTTTTCTAACGCCGTCGCGCGATGGAACGAACGAGAGGTTTGATTAGCTGGAGAGAATGAATGGTGTATAATTCCCCTCATTTCGCAGATTTTCTGAAACTAAACATAATCTCTCATCAGCTTTGTCGCGCGACACGGAAGAATTAAATATCAGCCTAAAACCTGTTAATTGCCGATCATGGGTGTAACGATATCGCAAAGAACCCCGTAAAAATCTTCTTCAACTAATTTATTGCCTCGCAATATAGAATTAAACTCGAGGTCGGTATATAATAGTGACATCACAATTATTTAACTGGGCTGCAATAAACACGAAGTGCACCCTGAGTCTCGCGTCGGGAATGGGTTGAAATACTCAACGGTCAAGAAAAAAAAAAAAAAAAGAAAAAAAAAACGGTGTACAATGAGCGTATATTCTGCCTTAAAACGTCGTCGACTCTCGCTCAATCACTGCCCTGATTATTCGTCGGATAATATACAATTGTCGGGGGGTTACGTCTCGTGACGTACCGAATTATAATCGAAATCTATTTACGATCAAATATGATCTGGCACGATATAAGTAAAAATTTCGCGGGTAAGTAAAACGAAACGAACGACGTCGGTTCGATATACATCTGTTATATAAGACCGGCGGGAGGTAATGATTGGGGACATGCGATTAAGGAATAAATACTACCTCGACTTAACGACATAATAGAGCCATTAAATCGCCAGGCGTCGCGATAGCCCATTATCGAATTGCATCGCAGTGAAATTGATAAGTAACGTGAAAGAAAAGAAAAGGGGAAAAAAGGGGGGGGAACGCAACGGTCGCGGTTTACGTTGACTGCCGGATATGACATTGAATTCGAAGTCTCTTAGTAATTAGAATAGAAAGAGAGAGAGGAAAAAAAAGGAGGAAAGAAAACCTCGGTTTTCTTCGGGACGCCCCACGCTTAAGACGCCTGAACCTCCTCAGCAGATTCCACCTTGATTTCCTCGGGATAGGTTAAATCGTAGAGCGCTTGTAGAGCCGCCTTCGCCGCAATCTTCTTCGCGTCCTTTTTGTTCTTGGCTATAATAATAACAAAAATCTGGATAAATGACCCATAGATGCGAAAAGCATTGACTTTTGTCAGCCTGTCAGCCTTCGTGCAACATATTTAGTTTCACGGTGGAATTTAGATGTAGGATAATTTTATTAATTTTTACCTGAGCCTGAATACTCGACGCCGTCGATCTCGACCGACAGAGTGAACATGATATTCGGTGGATTACCGGTGCGATTGACTTCGACGTAAGTCAAGCCGGGTCTCATCTGGTTAAGCAACATGACTGGATGTATACTGGTGGCGTTGGCTGGGAGTTCTTTCTGAACGACGGCCTTTTGTTCCTTCTTAACTTTTCCAGGCACGACTCCTGGTCTGGGCACCGGCACGACGGTTCCCTGGTTTTGCCACTCGAGGAAGAGTTTGTACAGGGCAAAACTCGCCAGCGAGCTCCAGGGTATCTCCTCGGTCTCGTCCACGGCTACGTCGGTGGCCATCGGAGTGACCTCTGATTGATTCTCCTCCTTCATCGGAGTTTCAGTGGTCTCACTGACTTGATTGGACTGGCCATCTGACTCTGCATCTATTCTTGCCTTCATGGCAGCCGTAGTCATTTTTTCCAAAAGCAAGCACTTAAGAGCATTCTCCGCAGCATTCTGACGAGCCAGAGGCTTTGACAGGCCTTGTCCAATGTAGGTCTTTCCATCGATCTGTAAAAGACAAAGGTTTCGTGTCACTCTCAATTTGTACGTACAATTTATTTTACACTTAAACCTGGATTGTTCTCGATTAGTACTAAGGTATATCGAACAGAAAGCCTCTACCTCAGCATGGACCAGAAACAGTGAATTCTGAAGAGACGATTGTGTCTCTGGGAACGTAAACTGGACGCCGGTCTTCATTTCGTTCAAGACCATTATAGCATTCTTTGGTTGCAAGGTTTTCCTCAGTCGCTGGTTCATACGCAGTCGCTTCAGCTTCCTGTTGACCTTGACTGCAAGTGAAATATTGACATCAAAATTGAGACAAGGGAGAAACCTCATAGTCAACTTCTAGAAACCAACAAATCAGACATCATAATTCACACTGGCTCCTGATTGCTCGGGCTTCGACAGCACACAAGAGCTGGAGCGACTACTAGCAAAACATAGGACCTTCAAATTTGCGCAGTGTATTTTCATCAGGATGAAAAATATACTATATACGACCAAAGCATGGATTACGATCCAAGAGAAAATATTACTCACAGCCTGGAATTTTGGATCGCTTCCATCTAGGGAGGTTTCCTTCCTGGCTCTCGACTTCCATGCTATCGTTGGCCTGTCCATCGATTTTCTCCTCTTGAACTACAGGTGTCGGAGCAGGAACTGGTGGAACAGGTGTTGGGGCAGGTGGAGTGGTTACAGCAGGACCTGTTCCAGTCACCGGAGTGCTTTGCTTCAGTATCGGCTTCAGTCGTTGTGGCTGTGGAGTGGTGGGTGGCTGCTGCTTAATTTGTGGCGGCGGCTGCTGCTGCTGCTGTTGCTGTTGCTGCGGAGGCTGTTGAAGGTTCATCTGTTGCATGGATCGATTAGCAATGCCCTGCTGTGGCATCGGTGACTGTGGCTTGAAGGGGGTTTGCGGTTGTATCGGTGGCTTCTGATAACCGGACTGCTGTTGCTGCTGACCCGGTGAGTTTTGGTAATTCCCTTGGGGGCCGAACTGCAATTCAGAGGGTGGGTCGCCGCTACACAAGGAACCTCTACGGCTGTGCTATACCACCAGGGCCCAGCGTCGCATATGCAGTGTCGAGCAGCCTAACGCTGCCATCATAGCTAGCACCGGCCAAGTTCCCTTCGACAGTGGCCGACGTCTCTTAACTCGTAAATCGAGTCAGATCGTTCGTCGACACGCCTCAAGGTGGTATCTTCCATCGCAGCCTCCCTGCGCTGCTACGACACGTGCCTAGCTCTGACCTCAAGCCTATCGCCAAATTAAATTTTATATCTTGTAACACTCTAACTGAATTCAAGAACTCCATGAGCGTCATTTATAGTTAAACCTCTGACAGAATCCTTATTCATTTTGGAAGAAAATTTTTTTGGATTTAACATAAGTGAATCTAACCTCGTTAAGAGATTATGTTCATGTACTGGTCGTGGAGAGGAACCAGGTACACCGTGTCGCAGCAGCGTCTCCATCGGACTTGCTTAGGCACGAGCTCAGCACGAATTACCAAGGCAACGATCTACGACAGGCCGTGCTATGAGGGCAACTGGCGAACTTGCCCCTGGCGGAACGCACCTCCTCGGTACAGTTGTATAGCTACTGGGGCCTGCATTGCAGGGGAGGGGGACACGGGGACCACTAATTAGTACATGCAAGCATAATGGCTATTGATTTCTCGCCCTCATTCTCAATCGATGACTCGATGTGCAGAAAACACTAGATTCCGTTTCCTGCTCTCTCGGTGCTTTCCTTTTTCTTCCTCCCTCGTTATTCGATCACAATGTATCGTGTCGTGGAGGAATAATAGAAAAACAAGAGAGCCGTGTGTGAATTCAGCAGTTTCCGCCGCCGTTCGAATCTGAGTTGAGAGTAATTCATCGTCGGAATTGAGTTTAAGACAAGTCGAAGGACAGAAAGAGAAATATTTTTAGTCATTTCTGGAAAATAAAGATTAACGACCATTTTGGGAGTACCCAAAGGAAAGTTTAGTACCTCTTCTGTCTAGAATTCTTGAACAAGTGAATAGCTATAGATGTGTATATATAGTTTTCGAAGTTTGAACAAAAATACTGCACAGTGGTCAGTGTACTAAAATTTCCATTGGAACGTAATTGTAATATAATTATCAATTAAAATTTGTTATACTCCCGTCAGTTCCTTGTCTTAAACAACTTTACAGATAAGAATAGAATATATTATAAGGAACAGCTTACGCTATTCCACTTGTACATGATAAGTGTTTCCGAACACCTGTCTTGTGCATCATTCGCAATCTTATAGTCAGGTAACAATGAAATCAATCACAAGCTGTATAATAAAAATTCTCAGTAGATATTGTAATACATACAAAGATAATGCATTCGACGGTGCACCAGACAGATTTTTCAATAGGGAGAAATTGTATTTTCCTCGTGAATTGGGGGTGCACAAAATATAAAATAAACTGGCTCACAAAAATTGAAACTGGGTACATATATAAAAAAATCTAAGACAAATGGAAGTGAAAATTGCAAAAAAGTACATTAATGTGCTGAAAAAATGCATTTTATAGTTGTATTCCATAATTGCAAGTATGATTTCTCTTCAATACGCTGCAATAATATTCTACATGCTTTTAAAATGTAAAAAAAAAAAACATTCTTAATGAAGATTTTCAAGATAGATTTTATCAGAAAACGTGACGTTACACCACCACGTAACTGGCAAAACTTAGAATAGTTCCAAAAGTGCTCAGGTAACATCTATTAAAGGCTCCGACTATTAATAACTTTAAAATATATTTAAGTCGGCTCGAAACTTACTGAATTCGACGATTGAAACGGCGCCCCTCCGGAACTGTTCATGTTACCCCTGGCTGTAAATAAAATAATCATTATTACATTTCAACGAAAACTAAATAATTAAGAATGTATGCAAAAGATGTGACAAGTTTATATTTAAACATAAATTATATAATTACTTCATACGGCATTGTTAAGGAAATGCATTTACTTTCAAAATAATAGGAAATAATTAAAATGTTAAGCTTATGTATAAATGTGTGTGCCTCCGAGATAGGATTATTTTCTCTGTATATATACACTAAACAAAAAGGAATCGCTACTCTAGGTCATACACAGAAGAATATTACAATAAATACTCATACTTAAGAGTAATTTCCTCTCAATACTGAAATAAAAATACAAAGCTCCGTTGTTGCTTGCTGCTGTCGATTCAGACTCTCATGCATAATACGAGGATGTATCTAGCTCAAATCTGATGAGATCCACTCAGAACAATTTACTATCCAACGCAGAACTAAAAGCGTAAAACGGAACCGACAATCATGAGCTCTAGTGAATCGAAATTGAATAAGCGAAGACAATGGCCACCCTCAGTCGCCCTTCAACCATTAAACGCAGCTCGCAACAGCCGCCATTTTTCCTGACACCGGCATAGTATTGATTTTCCATAGCGCTTAATCAGCCATCCTCTGCCGCCCTGTTCCCGTGCATCTTGATTCTACATTCATGCAAACGCGTCGCCATGCAACCAGGCGAAGAAACGTCGATAAAATGTGTCTTCCCTATCTTCAGCGATAAATTCTCGACAAGACTCACCGTTCACGTAGCCCTGACTTTGCCTGCTCCTGGTGTACATTTTTCACGGCTGCTTTGCGAGCTGAATTACTGGAAAAGTCGAAACCTTCGGATTGCGTTCTCTCGCGGCGAAGTTAAAGTCAAACTTTGAGACACTCGATTACCTTCAAACAACAGTCAAGTTACACTCGAGTTATTTTTCGCTACGAGCTTCTTCCTCTGCACTTGAAACACCGACGTGCACCGACGCCAGACGGGAAGAAATCTGCGGGTCTACGGAAATGACGCGCGTAACTACGCTAGTCAAGAGACGCTTCGTTGAGTCGTTTCTCTTGTATCCTCGATAATTGGCCAATCGGGGAACAGCTCCACTGGAATAGGCCAATCACCGTGGAGGAAGAAATGCGCGCCAATGGAATACCTGCCCGACGTGCACCTGCATGATAGCATCGTAGCATAATTTAATATGAGAAACAAGGATGTATTAATGACCATAATTTAATGCTAGTGTAATTTCTAACGTGGATTAAAGTAATTAAGAGTTACGGAAATTTTTTGAGTCGGCTCATTATAGGTTAGAGCTGGTCTCGTATGACCAACCAATCGGCGGCAACTTGATTTTAGAGATGGCGAATGTGTACCTTTATAAAGATAGGGTCGCAGTGTATGTGTTGTCTCTTTCTGTAGTGCAGCTAGACCCTAAGCAAAGTGTATACGTCAAAGTTGAGTTGAATCCCCGAAAGAGGGAAGACGTCTGCTTCTTTTCGATATTTTAGCATAGCTATCCAGATTTTTCAGACAAAATGGGAAATGCGGATACAAAGCTTAATTTCAGAAAAGCTGTTGTGCAGCTGACGTCGAAAACTCAGGTAAAATAATAATTCCGGATAATTGACAAGTGGTTTGGATGTTTTATCTGTTTTACTCATAACAAGAAGCTTCTTATAGCCATATGAGAGTGAAAGGTAATGACAGTATTTCTTACTTACAGCTGATAGATGCAGAGGATGACACATTTTGGGATCAATTCTGGTCTGAAAATGTTTCGAATGTTCAGGATATCTTTACTCTGATTCCTGCACCTGAAATTCGAATCTTAAGGGAAGAGGCACCTTCAAATTTAGCTACGTTATGCTACAAAGCCGTTGAAAAGCTGGTGAAGGCTGTAGATAACAGTTGTCGTACACAGAGGGAACATCAGACAGTACTTAATTGCTGCCGTCTATTAACGCGGCTGTTGCCTTATATCTTCGAGGACCCGGATTGGAAGGGATTCTTTTGGTCGAGCTTACCGGGCAGAGAGGATGACGAATGCGTACCATTGGCTCACTCTCTCCTTAATGCGATTTGTGTAAGGCATCTTGGATAAGAAATATTGGTACATTGGAATTTTAATCAATCTGCAAGTGTTCATTGACGTTTTAGGATTTATTATTTTGCCCTGACTTTACGGTTGCCGTTAACAGGAAATCTGGCCCGGTAAGTTTATGAACATCTTGTTATATTTGTTATTTTTTCTTGATGGCGGATAAATTTTGCTTGTTTGTTTACCAGGATAAAGCAGAGGAATTGCAATCAATTGATAGTTGTGAATATATATGGGAGGCTGGTGTGGGATTCGCACATTCACCACCGATGCATCTAGATCATAATTCAAACAGGACAGAGTTACTAAAACTTTTATTGACTTGTTTTAGCGAGACTATGTATAATCCTCCCACAGATCTATCTGTTTCACCTAATAGATGGATTCAGCATCTCACGAGTACTGAAAATAGGTAACAAATTTTTCCTTGCTACTAGGAGCTACTATATATTTTTTAATTGAGTATTAAATATAATTTTCTTTTTATTTTCCTAATATTCTTTCAGACATGCTCTACCAATGTTTACATCCTTACTGAACACAGTTTGTGCATACGACCCAGTTGGTTTTGGAGTACCATATAATCACCTCTTATTCGCCGACTCCTCAGAACCATTGGTCGATGTTTCATTGCAGATTTTAATAGTTACTTTAGACCATGATACCAGTGGGGGAGGGCCCACGGAAGAAGGGGCTGCAGGAGACAATCTGTTCATTAATTATTTAAGTCGCATACACCGGGATGAAGGTAAATTTCCATTTTTAACTTGAATTAATTCGACGGATTAAAGTCTATCTATCCACAGATTTCCAATTTGTACTAAGGGGAATCACCAGGTTACTTAATAATCCCTTAATGCAAACGTATCTACCGAATTCAATGAAAAAGGTTCATTTTCATCAGGAGTTGCTTGTATTCTTTTGGAAAATGTGCGATTATAACAAGAAATTCCTTTACTATGTACTCAAGAGTTCGGATGTTCTCGAAGTGCTCGTACCCATTTTGTATCACCTCAATGATTCCAGAGCTGATCAGTGTGAGTATAGAAAGGTTTTTAAAAATGTCCCATATGATTTTTTTGTTATAATTATAATTTTACAATTACTCAGCACGGGTTGGCTTGATGCACATTGGAATATTTATTCTCCTTCTCCTGAGTGGTGAACGTAATTTTGGAGTCCGACTGAATAAACCCTACACCGCATTCACCCCAATGGACATTCCAGTATTTACAGGTACTTCATACAAGAAAAATAATTATTATTAAATACTGTAAAATGTGCTTTTCTCTACTATTCACATATCTTAAAATAAAAATTTGTTATTCTCTTTAATTTTTCCAGGCACTCATGCCGATCTGTTGGTCACCGTCTTTCACAAGATTATTACGACTGGTCATCAAAGACTGCAACCCCTCTTCGATTGCTTGCTGACCATCCTTGTCAATGTTTCACCTTATTTGAAGACCTTGTCAATGGTTGCCAGTACGAAATTGCTGCACCTCCTGGAAGCTTTCAGTACACCATGGTTTTTATTCTCCTCCCCCACGAACTACCACTTGGTTTTCTTCCTTCTTGAAATGTTTAATAACATAATTCAGGTAATCGGTTTTTGGTGGAATCACATTTGTATCTATTTATTTGCTGAAGAGGCTCTATTTTTTAATTTAACTTTTAGTACCAATTTGATGGTAACAGCAATCTCGTATATACCATAATACGAAAGAGGCAAGTGTTCCATGCTGTAGCTAATTTGCCCAGCGACTGCAACACGATCGCTAAGTCTTTAAGCAAGCGACAGAGAAAATCCATCTCAGCTAGCACGTCGAACGAAAACGTTAATGAAATCGTTATGGAAGGATCTCATCCAGCACAGCCTGCAGAGCCCGGTACCCTGAAAGCTTCATTGCTAGAAACACCAGGTCAGGTTATTTTTGACATTAAGTTTTCTGAATTTATTAAATGACATTAATTGTGAGCGTCGTCTTTGCAGGCATCGAGAAGATGACTGAGAAGGAATCTGCTCATCCACTGAGCCCATCCGTTGAGATCGAAGTAGGTAAAGCAACAGTCAGCAGCAATCGACAAGGTGGTGGCAATGCACAAGACGATCTCTTGAGTACGAATAAAAGGAGTACTGTGATTCAGGTAATGAAGAAAAAAAAAGCAGTAATCCTTTAATTTAGTTCCCTTGTTGACGTTACTGCATGAACATTTTCAGAAAGGTGGAATTCGCGTAGCAGAGCAATCTGTATCATCGAGTGGAGTAAATCAATGGGTTCCTTCAAGCGAATGGGTTCATCAGTGGAAAAGCAAACTCCCATTACAGACCATTATGAGATTACTCCAAGTTCTTGTACCTCAAGTGGAGAAAATTTGTATCGATAAGTATGTAAATATTTCTCTAGAAATTTTCTTTTCTTCGCAAATGATTTATCTCGTTTTTCAGATTAGTTCTACTTGATGACGAACACGTTAATGAAGATTTTTTTTTGCAGAGGTCTGACTGATGACAGTGAAATCTTGAAGTTCTTGCAGCATGGCACATTGGTAGGATTGTTGCCAGTGCCTCATCCGATCCTCATTCGAAGGTATCAAGCTAATGCTGGGACCACTGCTTGGTTCCGCACTTACATGTGGGGAGTGATATATTTGAGGAACGTAGAGCCACCAATTTGGTATGACACCGATGTTAAACTATTTGAGATACAGAGGGTCTAAAGTTATGTCCATTAGGATCACTGAAATCCCATCATCATCATGATCATTGAATTAAAGAGTCCTTGATTGACATATACTTCACCAAGATGAAATCTGTTGCAATCAGGACTCAGTGTGAACAAGATTACGCAATGTAAGAGACGATGACAAAATCATCTTTTTCGACAGAAGTGACGTTTACAAATAGGACAAGAATAATGCAGATTGAAAAGGGCATGATAAATAGAGCGGGACTTTTAACGTTGTTCAGAGAGTTTTTTGATGTTACAGAAAGTAGAGAATCCACCAAGGTATCTAAGGTTAAGCGGTTAGAATTGTCATAACACGTGTGGTATGGTATACGTACGAAATACGTATATGGAATACGATTGGAAAAAATTGTTTACAGTGATCGAAGAAAGGCAAAGGTTATTTTACTACACTTAGGGCTAACTTAATGGAATCTCAATAGAATGCCCAATGTCAATGGCTTTTGTACTTTGCCATGCCTCTTTATATGGAAACCCATTTTTATCTGGATTAAAATGTTGCACCGATTATTGGCTTGAAAGTACTGCAGGAATAGGTTCATCTGTACTCGATGAATGCTCTTGCAATGCATACGAGATATTCATCTATTTATTGCAATTATATAAGTATACAGATAAAGTATGTATATATATATAGGAATATATTCTCCTTCATGTTTCATTGTTGTTAACGGAATTGCCTTTTTGTTAACAATGTGTCAGTTACGAGATCTGTATTTTACTTTATCAACTTTTAGTATTACAGATGTACGTAAATTCATAGACGTCAAAGTGTAGATACCTTGTTTCTGGAGACATTTCCGAGAAACTCATCTTGATTCCATTAACTTGATCTCTGGAAGTGTAATATTTTTTTTGCAAATGTTTCAATTTGAATAGTAATTTATTATTAGCCCATTGCCAAATAAGCCAATTATTCGTTACACATAGATGTGTATTTATTAAGAAACATTCATCGATTACTCGTGCGCCTATTCTTAGGATGTTCGAGATGATTGATTCTTGGATCGCTAGTGCAGTTGAAGCTCGTCAAATGATAAGATAAGTTAATGTAAAAATGGAGTATTTATTATTATGTACTGTACCCGTACGGCAGTAAGTGCGCAGTGTGTATACGCGGCGGGTCTCTTGTATCGGAGAGAGAGATATATATTACATCTTTTTGGCCAATAAAGCTTGGCATTGAAAAGAGATTAGGCGCCAGTGTTTAAGCACTACGCTTATCGCAATTCTGTATGACTTCTTATCCAGTGCATGTACGTGTCAAGAGTGTGGCTGCATCGGTGACATGAGAGCGATCCCTCATTCGCCGAGGGGTAAAATTGTCATAATAAAAAATTGAACGAATCTAAATACATACGCGTCCGTGCTTATGCAGACTTGAATTGTAAAGTCTTGCGGAAATTGTTCTGTAATTCCCGCTACTGTTCTAATAAACCGATCATTCCACTCTTCGACTCGGTGTTTCTCATTGCGTACCTATAAATCTAAATCCTTAATCTAAAATTTTTATGTAAGCCATTATAGAGTACATGTTTCATTGAATAGGTAGCATTGCTTCGACAGAAATTATAATTGCATGATTAACGTAGGGTTTGATTCACAAAGCACATTTTGTTTACTTTTTAGATAAGCAGTTGTGTGCTGCGGCGCTGGATAACCTCTTAAAAATACTTCAAAAAAGATAAACCGGTTTGTGCTGATTATGTTTCACCGACTTAATTGTGTGCAGTGGTGAATAACCTTTTATAAACATTTAAAAAAAAGATTTACCTGATTCATGCCACACTTCAACACATATGTGTTTTCACTATTTTAGTTTTAAAAAAGTATTAGAGTAACATTTGTCGTGAAAAATCCTTTTGTAAGGATGTTTTTATAATTCTGTCAATTTTGGCACTTCATTCCAATGCGTGTGCAATAAGCATGTAAAAACATAGGTTAAAAAAATTCGTAAGCGTAAATTTTTTGTAGGAATAAATAATCTTAAATAAAATTAAATGTGCTAGTTGAGGCTTCATTTCGTCCAGGGTTTTTTTAGCTTCGATAAAAGATGACCCTGCTTCTATGTTTTCAATGAAATTTCGCCGTAGCACGTCATATTGAGACCTTATCCCGTTTGTATCACAGACGTGAGATTCAATTAACTTGAAAAACTGTATAGCAACTACATCTCATCTCTGATTGGCAACGTATGCAAATTTTAATGCTCTCACTTGACATCAGAGATGAGATTGCTCTAGAGCCATAAAGACTAGAATAGAGTATATACTAACCGATTATATGATTACATCATTTTGTCTTCCCCGCAAGCAAGACATTTCGCTGATTGCTTCGAATCATCACTGTATAAGTCATGATGCTTCCAAAAGTGAGTTGTAAAGATTCGCTCGACATAATTACTGCTCAACGTATAACCTTGTCATATGCAGGCGGAGGGGCTTCCTCAGGTGAGTCTGGCGGTGGAATTAATATAGCAATGTGATAAGGTGGTGGCGGATTTTGTCTGTTTGTGGGAATCGGTGCAATGTTTTCGTTGACTATGGCATTTGTTGCTGTCAAAACAGTGACAGGATTGTCCTGGCTGCGAGATTCTTGATGATGAGAATGTCGAGACCTCCGACGAAGTATGGAGTAAAAACAGCCCGACAATAATAGAGTAACCAATAGACCGCAGAACAGTAGCACTTCCAGACCTGTACCCTATGAGTGAAATATTAAATTATAGTTCATCTTAGATGCAATTGAAGATTCTTGAAACCAAGACACAAATACTATTGATTTTTTTCTATAACCAGTGAAGTTTATACCTGGTGGTCGAAATAAAATTTGGCTGCGGCTACAAATCCAATTGCAAGTACAAATGTAATCCACACGCCACAGCTTAGTCTGTAACCAGCCAGTTCGGCGTCGCTGAAGTCTGAGAAATGCAACAGACCTCTGCTCGTGTCATTGATGACAGGTAGTGTCAGTCGATCGTTCCCAACGGTGCCCACGTTACTGCCGAACAGAGAAAACAGATCTGAGTATAATCCCGATGCTTTCTTGTTTAAGTATGTTTGTCACTAGTGCAAAAAAATTGCTCCACATCAAATGGTAAAAAAAGAATGAACTGCGATTAAAATTAGATAGATGAATCGCATCCTTCTCACTCTTTGACAGGAACGAGTATGTTTGGCTAAAGTAACATTAACCAAAAGGGCGATTCATTTACGCTTCCACTCTTAGATATGTACAAGCGAGTCACCCTGTGTATAAGAAGAACATGTTCCTCGGTATCCTCTTAGTAGACCTTTTCTTTAATTACTTAGGGAAGTTGTTCGGCTGTAGGTGCTGCGAGGGGTCACCAGAGAATCTACTCTCATAACCATTCCTTGAGATGGATCTTGGTGGTCTAGCAGTGAGTACATTACTGGGTCCTGGTGGGTTACCAGTGCCATTCAGACTCTGAAATCGATGAACCGGAGTAACCATTAGTGGTCTCGTGCATCTGCCTCGTCGATGTTGACCTAACGATCATAGATATCCATTGATCGACTATATCGATGTATAATCATAGAAAAGGTTAAAAGCTTTTACTTACTGGAACAGGTTTTAGGCAGCAGAGTGGCAGGATAGCGACGACCGCCAAAGCCACTGTGCCTGCCTGCTGGCTTGTCGATCCAGAAATGCATGGGCTGGTTACTCACTAATAAAGAGATAACTTTTAAGTTCTCGTTTTGAGGATGCAGTCGACCTAAAGTTCAAACCATGCAATGATAATCCTTAACGATATAAGTTAATTATTGAAATATATTAATTGTTTATAAGATCTGATAAAAAAATATAATTTATTGCAGCGAGACAGAAAACAATGAAAGTTCCAGGGTACGAACCTTAAGAATTCTCAGATATCGGAGTGGCAAGGTAGCAGCAGCCACGAAGCTTTCGTGTCTGCCTGCCAGTTTGTCGATGTAAATATACATAAGGAGTTGTAAATTATATCCGAGTGACTTAGTAGTACATCGTTCCCATCTTGTGGATCGTTAAGCGACGCAGAGGAAAACGTCGAAGTCTCACCGCCGATCGCAAGAGGCTTGAGATTCAAGTACCGCTACGTGTACAAACGCGTTCTGGATCATCGTCCGAAAGCCCAAAAGTCTCCAGTTTACTGTTCATAGCTTTCTCGAGAAAGAAGAAACAGACAGTGCGAATCTATACGAATCTAGCTAAACGTTCTTTCAATCCATCAATCGCCGTACATCACATATACAACTGCCTGTGGATTTTGGTTAGTGATAAAATTGGACAAATATAGGTTAAATGTAACTAGGGTTACAAGCGAGCAGGGCTGAGTTGGAAGATTGCTCACGGGCAGGGTCGCGCGATTGCAACCTCTGCTGCCCCCTCGTGGTGAACGCGAGCGGCTAATGTACTTGCCACCTGTTACCCCTCAGTGGCGGCGCAATTCATTTCTGGTGGGGGCTCACGCACTTGCGATGGTAATACCATGTGACAGTTGACGGTGGTAGCTGGTGGTAGCTGGTGGTAGCTTACGCACGCTTACCGATACCGGTCACATTTGATGGTAAGGGAACATTCGTGACTCTAATGTGAAATTATTTAAAATCGTATCGTAAGATAACAGTACCAATCTTCCTTATCGTTAGTACTACACCCATGTTGCTACTGTTATTTCATTCGATGGAAAAATTTGAATTATAATCGTCACACCGACGTATCGCGCCTTTCGATGCTTCAGCTACCGAGAGGGCAGCACCACGAAATATTTAAGAAGTAGGGGGCGTGGCTACTCTCATCTCTCTGTGTCGACCAATTACACAATCCTGTGTAAATGAACAAGCTATGGTAGAAATCAGTAGAAATCGTGCGTCATTTATAGGATATGTCGAGGTATCATTTAGTATGGATTAATAATGTAATATTCTCCCGGAATTGTTATTATACAACAAACCCTGTTATTGAATGATAAGATTGGTTAACATAAGCGACGGATGAGATTATTTGCCTCATGGAGATTAAACAATTTTTTCATCGATCTGGAAGTATTTGAATATTGATAGTATTGAGAATTCTTTTTGTTTTGATGGAATAATGGATACTATGGAGGACGAACGTTCTGAACATTGGATCTGTGATGGGGAACTTGGTTCTGGAAGCTTCGGTACAGTAGAACTCTGGAGAAGCAAAAGTTCAGGCCGTATAGTCGGTAAGTAAAATTTTGTTAATTTTGAAAAGTTCGGTACTCGTTTAGTAAGCAAATTTGTAGATAATCATTCTTTTAATTTCAGCTGTGAAAAGGTGTAAGTTGGATAACAAACAGTTGACCGAGAAGCAGAAGGAAAGATGGATCAACGAAGTAAAAATAATGAACATTTTACGACATCCAAATATCGTAGGAACAGAATATGTGTCACGGTTTGTGAGAAATATGAGCACTGGTTTACCAGTACTGTGTATGGAGTACTGCTGTAAAGGGGATCTCAGAAAAGTGAGTTCGTTATTTTTTTCTTATATATTTATAAATAATAAATTACTTTCTGTTTCCTTTACGAGGCAACATACTATTATGGATTTCAGTTGCTGCTTAAAACTGAAAACTGTTGTGGCATTCCAGAAAATGAAGTACTCAGGATAATGAAACATGTATCATCCGCTGTCGAATATTTGCATTCCCATTCAATTACACACCGTGATTTAAAACCAGAAAACATTGTCTTACAATGGCAGAACGATGTAAGTGGTGCACGATGAGATGAGACAAGTGGCATTGATTCTTTCATTAATGTCAGATTTTATGTTATATTCTATAAGCTATGTTTTTTTAATGTATAAACTTTTACAGATAACGAGTTATAAGTTGATCGATCTTGGGTATGCTAAAGAACTCGGTGAAAGGAGCCAGTGTGCTTCAGTGGTTGGTACATTGAGTTATTTGGCACCAGAATTATTTTGGGATGATAAGTACAGTTGTTCGGTTGACTATTGGAGCTTAGGTATTCTTTTCTATGAGATTGTCACAGGAACAAGACCATTTTTTCCAAATGCTCAAATAAATCTGAAAAGGTAAGTTTTTAATATATGTAATATTTTTCTCTACTTACAATATGTGGTATTACTTTAAATTGGCCAATGCTTTACCTTATCATACTCAATTAATGGATTGCTGAATATTTCAGGATGAAGTATGTTCAAAACAAGGTATACAATGAAATTTGTGCTCGTGAGGTGAATGACCAAGTAGTCTTTGGTACAAGTATTGAAAGTCTTTCCACATTGTCTCCGTAAGACAATTAGTATTCCCTTGTTAATATGAATTCTAATTCTCCATCATATTTCTAATTCTTTTATTTTTACCTTTATTCGACAGATGTATCAGTAGCAAAATGGTCGACTGGTTTAGATTAGTTTTACAATGGGATAAGAAAAATCGCGGGAGAATGAATGGAAATCTAGTAGTTTTCAAAATGCTACAAGAGATCCTGTGTAAGAAGGTACATCTTAAACATAAAAATCAAATTGTACGATAATTGATATTTATGTATCAGTTTCTGTGATTTTTTTGTTTGATGTACAGATTCTTCAAATCTTCATTGTTCCTCGATATTCCCACTGCTCATATGCATTGGATCAGGAAAGTACTGTTAGAACTTTACAGAACTTAATACAGGAAAATATCAGAATCCCTGTTGGCAAGCAGTTACTAACCGATTCCTATGGGAGAATACTAAACGAAAATGAACTTGTATTTAATTTGGATGTATGTAAAATTATTTAGTAATATATATTTCTTAGCTTTAAATAAGTCCATTATTATTACATGAAGTTACGAGTAATCAAAGGATGAATATTTTACAGGATTCACTACTATTTCTTTTTAAAAGTGGCAGTGTTGAAATTGAAGATGTGCCAGCAGTCGTAGCTTCGGAATACATCCAACCACTGCTTGAAAAATCTGCAGTAAAATTAGACTACTATACAGTAAAAGACTACTACAGAGCTGCAATATTTTGTATAAAGCAAGAAGTCACTCTTTTTGAAAATTATATCATTGCAATAAGTATAAAAATGTATGTATCCGTGTACTGTACACTTTGTCCGTGTAATTTAATAACTTTGTGAACTGGTCTACACTTTGAATTAATATTGCAGAGATTTGATAAATGGGAGGTGTAAAGTATTGAATGAAAATATTGAAAAGGCTATATCGGATACGAAGTCAGTAATGACGATGGCCGATAACCTGTTGAAGAACGATAAAACAATGGAGCAGAAAGAAGATTATATGAATTTGATTGCAAAAATGAAAAAACTTGATAATGCAACTAGTCAAGTGAAAAGCAAGTCGAACGATTTGATACTACAGAATACGAATTTAAGAGAGTTTTGCGAAATTCCTTGGATGGCTACTTATTCAGCTTTGTAAGTTAATAATTCAGCGTCCAGAGTTTCAATAATCTGTAACATTGTTTATTTAATTTTTATAGGTATGATGAAGCTGTGAAGTCTTATGAAACCTTCATGAATAATGAGCGACGTAGCACCTATCCTGCACGAATGGCCCAGCACGTATATCAACTTTTTACGCTTCGGGAGAAAAATATTCGAGATCCAAAAATAATCAAAATTACAAGGTTGGTACGTAAACTTCTATGAGAGTTTCAGGATTTATTAATTATTTCTCGTGTACTTAAAAAAATATCTCTTTGTCAGGCAAATTTGGCAAATGGAAAACGAAGTTATGAGGTTAGAACAGTTTCTGAAATCCGTTAAGGTTTTAATGCCTATATATAGCCAAGAATTCCGAAATTATGAATGGAAAAGTCGACGGGATTTGGAACAATCATCGCATAATGCTGGGATTAACCCTGATTCATTCGCTTCTAATTTCAAGAAATCTTCAGATTTATGCAATGATGTGATACACGACAATGTAGTGCTTCGTTTTTTGTAAGTATTCTGTTGTAGAATTTCACACAAGTACTTACAGATATTGACGAATACGGTTGAAAAAAAGGCATAGCATTAAATCAATTTATGTGATTTATCTAGAATTAATGACTACTTGTCATCGATGCAAGGAACCTACAAGGAGATAGTAAACCTTAATCCTTAAAATAATCTTTGGTCCGATGAAAGCAACCAAAGGACTATCCCGGTTCAAGACAGAATAACCGAGTTAAATACAAGGTAAGCGTTATTTTCAAAAATACGAACTATGTACAGCAACTTTACTGGAATAACTTTCTTATTTGTGGAAAGTAGGTTTTACAAAAAGACCACTGGAAGAATCATGAATATACCAAGACGATGAGTCAGTGCTGCTCGCAGGATTTGGTTAATCGAACCACAAGAATTTCCAACGGAATGTTTTTAATATGTTCTTTGATCTTAATCTTAAAATGGTCTGAAATGTGACGTTACAAGTTAGCAGTGATTAAAAAACATTGTAATTACGACTGTTAAGTTTAGAGTTGATACTTTTCTTACAAATGAGATTTATACAGTTACACATTATATTTTTATCTTATTACAAATCTTATGAAAGTTCGTTGTACCTTATGTCTTCAGGAATTAATTGTTAATTAAACTAATGATACATATGATACAGGAATAATCAATTAGTTCAATCGTGGGATATATTGCCTTACTCCCCACTTTAGGTTTGCATGTTCATCCGTTTTGACAAATGTGTATACTGGTCCGTTGAAATTCAGACCTCGATGAAATTGTGGAGCACTGCTTCTGGAAGCTGTTAACAAGAAAAGTAAACATTTGCTTTGTAGTATTAATTTAACCAGAAGAAGCAGCGATATGATAATACGTGCATGTAGTACCATCGATAGTAGCCACGGTGAGTTGAAGGAGAAGTATCAAGAGGCATCCTCGGAGGATCTGGAACCACAAAGAGTCAGGAAATTAATTTTAGCTGGACACATTAACTAGAATACAGAGACACTCGAAAAGCTTAATTTCAATCGGTTAAGATAAGTTACCGAAAACAGGGCGCCAATATTGTTGCAACTCATTTTGAGAACTTTAACGATATACTTTGCACTCCTTTAACTGTATTTTACTGACTAAGCTGGCTCTCAACAGTGGGGTTCAATATAAGGAATTGAGCCGTACGCAAAAAGGTATCATGCTTGAATAACCGGATCACGCACTTTCTTTGTGCCAGCTTTCACATTTTTTTATAACGCGGTGTCCTGCCGGTTCACGCTTGCATGCTAATATTGGAAGCCACATTGTGAAGATAAAGTTAAGCGTGACCAGGACACAGAGGGGTGTGTACAACACGAACCAGCCGTTCCTTAAACATATAGACAATTCCATTTTATTCAAAAGTTGTGCATAAGTATCTCCTAATAGATCGGTAATCGAGCAACAATGTTAAAATAAATATTCTCCATTTGCTAGTGGTTTCCTCCTCGTCGAGGAATGTCGCACACTGTACTATTCGTCTAAATTGTCCACGCACAACAAGTATGCATTTCGCATATAAAAAGTCCCTTGGTGGCCTAGCTTGATAAGTACAAAAAAAAAAAAAAATCCAGAAGAAGAGGGGGGACAAAAATGGAAAACGAACGAACAAATGAGATTCCAAAAGTTTCCGAAATGATTAGTCTATCTGACTAACTTCACGAACGGAATACGATCTTATTCGTTATCACTGATATCCTCGTCCGTCGTGAACTCGGAATGTTCATCAGCGGCGTCCACGTCCTCTGCAACCTCCTCGTCGGAAATATCCCACTGAGGATGTTCCGTTGGAATTTCAGGTGCCTCCTTGACGTCCAGCTGGAAGAAACATTTCGATGAAAACCCCATTAAGCTCCTTTTTAATTACAAAAAAGTAAAAGTAGTTTACGAGGAATGCTATTTCTTGGTAACTCCCAGATAATTGTTCGATAATTTCGCATTAGAAGCGTAGCAAAACTCGGAAATTCTTACCTTAATGTCCTGGGCTTGGTCAAAGCCGAGATACGAGTCACTGCGTAGGCACACAGTAAATGTATAAAATCCGGGCCATCGTGGCGCGGTGAATCGCAGTTGCACCACGTCGTGATGGGACAGCGACGTGACGTGGGCAGGTGCCGTTAGGAGACTGCGACTCTTTCGATCACAGACGTAAACCCACCAGTACTCCTGCTTGACATCCGGAAACAGGGGGCAGTGAACTTCATGCGAGAGATTGCTCCTTCCCTCCAGGACCTTCTCCCTCTTCGTGATTTTCTGTTGAAATCTGCGGACGCGATCGATCAACGTCAACATCGGTAAAATTGTTCACGCTAAGCTTAATCGTCTCCAAGGAGAACCAAGAATCCGTTGTCGCCGATTTAAATTCCGAAAGGACGCACCTCTCCCACTCGGTGTCATCGTCATCGAGCGTGGACTCCTTCTTCTCGTGAGAGCTGTCCTCCTCCTCGCTTCTTTCGCTGTCAGCTTCGCTGTCACTAATATCCGATACCCTATCCTTACCCTGATCGGCGTCTTCCTTAACGTCGTCCTTCTTCTTCGCATTGGGAGTATTGCTCTGAGGTGCAGCCGCATTATTCTGTACAACCGGCTGCGTGGGTTTGGCAGACACCGTCTTCTTGTTGGTACCTTTCTTGTGTGACTTTTTGGCTCCCTTTCTCTGCCTGAGCCATGCCGGTTTCTTCGCCACTTGGTTCTGTTCCTCCGGCACCTCTCCATTCGTCTCCACCCCCGCTTTGCTGTCATCGATAATAGTCTGTTCCTTTACAGTATCGTCCCCAAATAACTCTCTCATGTCCTTTCGCGACAAAGACACCGTCACTGTTACAATTGCACCAGCAGTGTACACGGTTGGGTTTTCGTCATCGATAACTGTAACAAAGGAATAAAGGAGAAAACCAATGTAAAAGGTAGTTTGAAAAAATTCTTCTACTCATCGTTAGACACACTGACCTTCTGAGTATACTTTAAATTCGATATACGGCATGTTTCCAAGGACTTTCATAACGTCCTCGTATTGACTATCCGATAGACTTCGAAGGATTTGCCTTCTCTCCTCGCCCTTCAACTGAGCGAACTGTTGAAGACTCTTGATCTGTCGCTGTGAAGAGGGAAGTGAATTCGTCAATTACAGTAAATACGTCTAGTCTCCAGAGAAATAAGTGTAACAACCTTCTTAGCTAAAAAATATTTTAAATTATCGTCGGTAATATGTGGCAGCTGCAGGAGAGGATTCTTGAACTCCCAGAATCCTTGGACTATCATCGGACACAATTTCATGCAGTTTTCTAATGTATTAATCGTTGGAAGCCGTAATACTGGAAAATTTGGAGAAATCAATTATTCTGCATATATTTAATTCAAACGTAAATGTGCGTTTATTTTTTATACCTTTTCGCGCATATGCCATCATAATTAAATGACTGATGCAGGCGATCATCTCTTGTATTAAATATGGACATTTCTTAACGATGTACTGTCTATCTTTTTCCAAAGTATCAGGATTCAATGGCATTCGAGATAAATGCGCGTGAAGCAGTGCTCTAGCTTTAATGGAGTATAAATAGCACAATGGAATTTCCTTATTCTTTTCATTTAAATTGGATAACTGCTTTATAAGCTAAAAATACAACCAAGCAGTACAGTCATTGTTATATTCTTACAAAGCTCGGTATTAATTGATGTGAATTTCATTTACCAAAGGAACTTCTTCGTTGTCAGATTGTCGTTCTACGATCTCGGCATTGCGCCTTTTGTAAAACTCTGAGGAAGCAGCAAGAATCATTATAATCCTTTTCAATTCCATTGAAGGTGTTTTGCTGAAGAAGTAATAATATATTTCAGTCGTAGCTAACAGAACCTGGAAAATATGATAGATTATTTTCCAATTATTTTTCTCTTCTAAATCATACGAGACATTTAATGGATGCCTGAGTAATATATTGACCTGATCTCCAGTGTAGCGGATACTTCTATACCACCACATACCGACAATTGTTGGTAGAGCAACCATAAAAACTAAAGCATACAGCCCCAGAACCCAAACTGAATTTTCCTTTTCTACGATCCAAGAAGGTAAAGCGATTCCCAAACTCATGGCTATAGGGCCATCTGGATTTCCAAACTTCTCCCAATTCCTTCGAGCCTCGTCATCCGTCAAAGCCTGGTAGGCTATTCATTAAGAACAAAATATGTTTTCAGAAGACAATCCTTAATAATAATAAAAAAAAACTCATACCTTTAGTCAATTTCATGAATGCTTTTTCATTTCCCGTTTCCTTCTTATCTGGGTGGAGTATAAGGGAAAGTTTACGATACGCTCTTTTGATTTCACTTTGTGATGATTCCTAACATAAAAAACTATTCTTTATACTACCATTTTAAGGAAATCAATTGATAAGCATTTAACTAAAGCACTAAACACGATTCTTACCGGAGTAACGCCCAGAATCTCAAAGGGATCAAAGCTTGCCATTTCATAATCAAACTGAGATACTTTATAAGCCAGAAATATTAAAATGACCCATCCTAAAACAATGAGGAATTTTCTGCAAAAAAAATAATCTCATTATCAAGTGTGTTTAATGTACAATTAAGGTAAATCTTGTCTTTGAGAATTGAAATTAATTGCTAGTCATATCTTACATAAATAGAGCTTTGGTTTCCTTCCAGGGCTCATTTTGCTGCAATATAATTTTCTTCTTTTTACATCCATTGCACTGACATTTTTTTTGAGCTTGTTGAGGATCTACAAGTAGACGATTACAATCAGTAAACCGATTATTTAATAGTTGATGCGATTCGGTAGCACAAATAATTTGCACGCACGGTCGCTTGTTTATCTTAAGCATTAAATAACTTCTGTGCATCTATTATGGACAAACTATCAGAAATATTTATTAAAGATGGAGTTTCATTTCAGAGCAGAAATAGTAGCGGATGGTAAACTGACACAAGTAACGAGTTTAAATGATCGTACATTGAAGCAGCGACGGATCGTGATTGTCGCGAATGATCCCTTCCGCAAGAATTAATAATACAACGGGTTAAAAACTCTAATTGTCATTCTAACCTGGCTTTGGGCAACGTGGCCACAGGTAATAAGTTCCAGGAATCAGGAGCAGCGCCAAAAATGATAGCAAAAAGTAGAAAAACGTCCCGCCACTCTCATCGTACTGAAATTTCTGTCCGCTCATTGTTCATTAAGTACGTGCACCGTTCAATTACACTTTTAACTCATTATTACGAGCTCACATCGTCGGTCACACAAACGATATACAGGTTATGTATGTACAGTTATGTTACACGAATCCGAAGTCAACTTGTCACCGTCATGATTGCCAACTGTAGCCAACTCACCATCGACGCGCTTACCTGCGCACATGCGCAATCATCAACGCTGCAGTGTGCTCCATTTTGCGCCGCTAGAGTTTTGGTTATTTTTATGGTTGGCACTAGTGAGGTTAACCTGATTAAAAGGCTAACCTCACTTCGCGGGGTTAGCGTTCTCTACTTGCGGCCTGAAACAGCCTGAAAAGCACATGTAAGCGGTAACAGGAGACACGTTTCGGTACTTGCCAAATGATTTTTATGGGAATCTATTTGTAAGAAGGTAGTATTCCGTTAAGAGGAATTTGTTAACGGATTTTTGAGTGCGTCAACGTAGCAGAAAAACCATCAGGGAAAGTAAGTGGCTCGGCTGAATATTCCGTAACCTAACATTTCTGCTGTTAGTGCGGTACGCACGTCATCGATTTCTATAAAATATAACATATGGATAAAATTATTATTTTATGGGGAGATCGGTGTTCATGTTATTGATGTGGTAGATATTTTAAATATTATTTCGTCTGAATATTATATGGGGTATACGAGTTCATTGTCTTGCAGATGTCTGTGGTGTCATCGAGAGTTAGTAGCGTGTCATCGCTTTTGAAGGGGCCTGGAATGAGATCCAAACTTATAGGCCAGTCTAATAGAGTAAATTTTAAGCTACCGAAGAACCTAAAGAACATTCTGAGTAATTTTGAAAATGGCTGCGATCGCAAAATATACGAAGACTTGATACGGATTCTTCGTGATTCCAACATAAAGGTGAGAGTCGTGTAGGAGCTTTAGTTAAGTGGAACATATGCAGTACAACGAGTTTTATTTTAGGACAATGAATTGATAGAACTACTCACCGATATGCATCAGTGTATTCCACAATTAGGACCAGTCCATGGATGTTTGGTGGGAACTTTGCTGAATATTGAATGGATAGGCCGAGGCGAGGGAGCTGTATTAGCGTACAAAGGGTTTCTGGAAGATCTAGTATGCGCACATGTTTATCATACAAAGTTTGTTGTAGACAGACTTGTTAATTTGTTTATGCCAGGTTAGCTCTTTTAAGTGATCAAGTTTTATTTGATAATTTTATTGCAGTTTTCTGTTAAACGAATCGTGATGCATGTATGAAATTGATTTTAAATGAAAAACATGTTTTTAATTATGCATGTTTTAAATGTTCATTTAATTTAATTGTTCCATTTTCATGTGATATAGATGATGAAGCAACAGAATGGGAAGATGGAAATCCAAGAGAAGAAGATTTACGGAAATTAAATCACGTACATGATGCGTTGAATAAGCTCTTAAAAATAATACCAATGTAAAAATTTTTATATTCCATGTGGTTTCATGACCTGTAGACTTATTATTAATACTAATTTTTTATTAGGTCTGGTGGTCTTTTACTGCAAGCAGTTACTAGTGCTTATCCTTACATGAAACGTGGTACTCACATACACCAAAGATTTTTACATGCTTTGCTACAAATCTCGGAGTATGCACCACATTTACGTTCAGATATTTTGTCATTGATAATCAACAGGTCAGAGATTCGTAATATAAATTTAAATTAAATTAGCAATCATGAATATTACGAGGTATTTTAAATTTTCAGGTTAATTATATTGGATGTTAATGCTCCTACTTCAGAGATTGAGGATTACGAGGAAGAAGAAATGCAGGAGGAAGACACTGGCGGTGGAGGGGTATTTAATATGGAGGACATAGGGTCAAACGATAAAGCAAAACCTTTGAAAGCATTGAGGCATCCTGTAGCGCATACATTAGACGTTTGTATGGAGCAGGTGCTTTCCTATATTTACGGCTCCTGCCACGTTCAAGGAACTCTCGAACTGGAATCCTTGAAGGGGCTTTATCACGAGATCCTACAGATATTTGAAAAAATAATACTACCCACCCATGCCAGCCATCACGTACAGTTCATCATGTTCTATATTTGTAGTTTCAAGGTGGTCGTAGCGGAAGCATTTCTAAATTGGTTATGGCGAAAAGTGTCTAATCCAAACGTAGCACCTGTGATCCGTCAGTCCGCGGTATCCTACATTGCGAGTCTCCTCGCAAGAGCTGCGTTCATGCCACTCGAGTAAGTTCTTTACTTTCAGTGTTTTATAAAAGAAGACATTAATTAAGAATACGTATTTTCAACAACATTAATATTCTTCCAGGTTACTGACAGCAATGCTGCAAGAAATGTCACAGTGGGTGCATAGTTACGTCTCTTCGCAAGACAGCCTGGAATGTGTGAACAGCGATGTCAGAGTGCACTCAGTATTTTATTCAGTTTGTCAAGCGATGTTTTACCTCATTGCGTTCAGACACAAGGATTTGGTGGATACAAAGAAGAGTAAGCGTACAGAATATCGGTCTTTCGATTAAATCTTAATTGAAATGTGCAAAGATAACCTCGTCGGTCATTTCATTTTCCAGATTTATTAATTCTGCAAAGTCTGAATCTCACGAAAATAGTGACCTGCAGACTAAACCCGTTACGAGTTTGCCAACCAGCAGTAATACAAAACTTTGCAGCAGTAACGAGGACCTACCAGCTGGCATATTGTTACACGGTCATCGAGCGAAACTCTCGAAGTAATCTTCCAGTCCTTCAGAACAGTAATCGGCTTTCAACGTGGCTGGACACGTTTTTCCCATTCGACCCGTATGCTCTTCGGCTAAGCAGTCACAGGATAATTTCCGTGTACATACATTATCAAGGCTCGGTGAATGTCGAGTCAGCTACGGCAGGGTTAAAGGATGAGACTGACGAGGACGACTTCATGGACGAATCCTTCCCTCAGTCAATGGACTCTTACGGTCATAAAGACAAATTCTCGTACAGCACATCTCCAGGATTTATACACACGTGAAAATAACGCTCCAAACGTCCGTAGAAGAATTCGTCCGACTAACTTCACGTCGATCAGTGTCGAGGATTAATCCTTATCTTCCCACGTTCACATCGGATCGAAATAAACGTATTCATATATGCGACTTGTGTTCGAGTACAATTTGAATGTTGTACGAATTGTGCCGCATCGAATCTTTGTTGTGCGGCTGAGCTGCGTTAAAAGTTATCATTTTCATTTACTCTATGGGAAGAACGGGATCGAAGGAAGTGCTCTCCTATGATGATCGTTAATCGGTGAAACGCACATCTTGCTTTTCGGTTAGCTCGATCTAACGTGTGTTGTTTTAACCGTGGTCAGACGTTTTGAATAAGAAACATGTAATATTTATTGTTATACTTTACACATCAGCTCTATGTACATATCTGGTGTTCTATTTTGAGGGAGGGTCCCTTGTGTCCGGACCGGCAATAAGTGTAGAGATTCGCTTCGAGATCTAAGACACGCTGTCGGCCACTAAGACTTATATATCCTTTTTTTTCCTTTTTCTTTTTTTACCTCTTCCGTCGACCGGCAATTGTTCTCCGTCGTCCAGCGGCGTTTACCTTCTTGCCTCTTGCTTTATCCATAACACGAGCGTCGCTTCTAAGCGTATGTATAAATAAAACCGTATCAAAAAGTAGGTCTAATCGCGACGTCCGTTACGTTACTAAGGCGCAATACTGTCTTTCGAAATAGACGCGGCTATCGTTAGGCCTTAATTACGCGCGTGTCTTTGGTTCTACGTTGTTTCGAGGTACACGGGTAACTCTTCCTGCTGACGAAGGAGCGCCGCCAGAGCCTTTTCAAGGTTTTCCGGCAAATGGTCGAGGAGCATTCGCGGCATCACCGACAGTTCCATGAAATCCTCTGCCTGCGCCCATCTCATTTGGTAGAGCTTCTCCTTCTTACCCTTTTTTCTGCGGACAGATGTAAGCATCTCGTCGGTGTTTCTTTAAGCGTGAACGGTATAATAGATTTTACAGTTTCTGTACAAGTATTGCTACGATATCCCGCCGATGCGCAGGCGAGTTAAATAAGATAACAATTCGTTTGATTAATGTCGCCACAAGGTAATCAAGCTTCGGGACTTTCGCGAGCTCGCTTAGACGTATGCGAGGGTATGTACGAAAACGCGAACGAATAAAACTATGTATGTAATTAATTGACTCATGATTCACGGTTAACTGTCTGAATCCCAGGGGCTATTGACAAAAGACATTGTCGAAAAATGCCGAACAACGCAATAGCGCTTGTCTTAATCGAGGGCGAAGACAGCCAAGCGGCTTTTCTTTGTATAAAAATTGCCAATCAGCGCTTCTCTTAGTTTATGTTTTGTTGGCGCTAAGTGGAGGAGGAAGAGCGCGCTAATTCGATAGATTTTGATTGATTTGATTTTTCGACGTGAGATCTGTAATCGCGCTCGTTAGGACTCAAACGGTTAATAAGTAGTTATGAATTTTCCAGAGGACTGTCTCTACGTACTTGTCGGCGGTGCTCGACGGTTGTTTGCACCTGGACAGGTGCAGGATACGGCCGGCGTTGTAGAGTCGCACCTTCGAGTACCTCCTCCTCGTCACGTCGCGTTCGAATATCATGGCTTCCTGTTTACAAATTGCGGCCGTCATTCTATCACGTATCGGTAGTTCGAACTCATCGGATAAGACTAATCGAGGCTTTGGATACCGTTTGAGCACTCCTCGGCGACTCGGAAAGAAGCGGAAGGTGTCCTGGTATCGAGTTTATGGTGTTGCCGTTCCTCCAGGTCCTGTCGAGGTCTCTGTCGGGCACCCCGAATAGGATGTAGCCAAAGCCGTTCAACACTACCCTGTACTGTGATGGAATGACAATTGATGATTGTTTTCCTTTTCCTTTTTTTTCTTCTTCTGAATGCAGAAATCGTACCTTCGGCAGCCTGCAAGCCTGCAGGGTGATCAGCAAAGATGTCCTGAAGTTTTCCATGCTGTCGACACTTAGTCTCATGACGAGGTCATCTCCGAGTCCTATCGTCAGCACGAACTCTTCGGTCACCCTGGCGGCTTCTCGGCTTAGCAATCCGGCTGCGATTTAATATTCGAATAATTCGGCCGCGGTCTCGAGTTAAAGGTGGCAATTAAGCCGAATAATTACCGGGCGTTGAAAATGCATAAACTCTTAAATCAGGGTAACGAGGCCGGATTAACAAAGCGAGGAGAACGGACAGACCAGCGCCCAGACTGTGACCTGGCAAGAATAAATTCATTACCCTGGTTATTACGGATTCCCGTAATTAGTAATAAGTAGTTAGAATTATTGCGAATCTATTAACCTGTAAGAGTTAGGGAATATTGAGGGTACATCGTGAATGCCTTTTCCAGGATCTTGGACTGGTCCAATTGTCTTAAGAGCACCTTGGCACCGATTATCATGCCACGATGAGCCTGTATTGGAAATGTCGCGCTATGTTAATTCATTTTTCTCACCGATTCGGATAAATATTTTAGGGGGAATTCGGAGTACCCTCCGTGTGGTTTTTCATTTTCATCCACTCACCATGCTTCCAGGTGGAAGGCCTTCTACTTCGAAGGAATCGGAAGCGGCGGCAATGTCCGTGATTAAATCCCGCAGAGATAATGAGCCTCGGATCACAATTACGATGCTCGCCGTCTTGTGGTCGGCTATCACGCAGAATGGAATCTGTGTTATAAAACAGGGAGCGATAAGTAGAAATTATATTGCCCACCGTTGGAAATATTCACAAAATTCATGAACTTTCAGTACAGATCTGGTAGATTTATAAATCGTCCTAGATGTGAATTAGTACATATTTATTACGTATTTCTAAACAAACTTATAATTTCAAGGTATCATATTATAATGTGAAATCCCGCGGGAAAGTCAATACACTTGTGCCCTAAATTTATAACACATTTTTTGCAAATTCCTCGTGAATATTTTATCCAATTATGATATCGTTTTGTTTAACAGTGCAGGTGCAGTTAATTTCTTCCTCATGGGGGAGGTATTTGCAATTCTCCGGGAATTTTAACAGCGATAAATGGAATCCCTCCCTTCTATTTTATGCACAGTCGGTTTGAGGAAAATTATGGGTGCGATGTGAGAAATAATTGGAGCATCTACCTCGCACAGGTGGTTCCTGAAGGACGCGAACAAAATGTCGTCCTCGGAGAGTCCGGACAGGTATTTCACGCCGGCGAGATTGCAGAGGCAGCAATTATCGTCGAGGACGATGTTCTGCTTTCTCCTGAAAATATATCGAGGGTAATCCAGAGTGTGGTGCGAATTGCAGAGTCATTTTCTCGCAGTTCGGTAGAGAAAAACACGTCGCTCTTGACATGCCCTCAAGGTGAGGGCTCGTCACATTAAGGTGATATAAAAGGATCATTCTATATACAAAAACGTAAAAATCTGAATAAAAATGATTCGGTGCATCCAGCTTTGAGAAATGTTTTATAAACATTTGTACCTTTTATACCCACTGACTGACCCTTTCATATCACATTAAATTCCCCAAAACGCTTAATCAATTAATCCAATCGATTCCGCCTCTGCTTTGCCAATTTTTCCGTGTCTCTCCATCCACGTTGCGCAAATCGTGAATTTTCCTTCCATTCGGGGAGGAATAAAAAGACACTCCACGGTTGGTGGTTTCGTCATTGTCGGGGGCATTATTTAAATAACGCCGTCCATTTGAATAAACCAATTTTATGCCGTCGTTTAACCACTGGCCGCGTCATGTGTGGCTTGTTTGAATGCACGTTCGGTCGAAGCGATTTGCCTTAATGTGCAACTTTATGCCTCACCTGAAACAAGCGCAGCAAGTCATGTCTCGAATTAAACGAAAGCACCCGGTGCAGGCATGCTTGTAGAGGACGAATAGCCATCCATAAGAGGATATCGAAAGTTGGAGGTAATGATGGGCCCACTCCAAAGACATCCAGCTGGGAGTCCCCGAAAAGATGACCTTCGAGTCTGCGGAATTAATAAAAATATTCAGAACTTAAGTGTACTCATAACTGAAGGTACATCGAGACGTGGCTACATTTCCATTAACCGTGGCTTGGTGTAAGCCAACTTGAGAGACTGCTGAGTGATTACTTTTTGTATTTTTCTTATTTTTTTTTTTCTTTCTACTTAGCAAGCATCGTTTGACATGCCTACGTATGCCATAAACGTGACACGTGGAGATCGTTTCGTAAGTTAAGTGAGTTTTACATTGCTTCATCAGCAATATGAATCCCTCGGCGATAACGAAACTGAGGAAAACGTTACGAATTGACTTTTGCACGCGTATCGGTGATTTACGCAAATTTGGAGGAGCGAAAAAATTAAATGGCCTTTTTTTTTCTAGCCAGATGATGAGCGCCGACAATGAGAATTCCTAGTGCCGGGTAAAAAACGTCCTTAAACGCGCTGATGGGAAATTTCGAAACGTCGTTTTGCCTCGAAATTGATCTCCATTGTTGCGCTTTGCAGGCATTACCTCTTGGCTGTAGGATTTTGAAAATTGTATATCAATTTTTAGGAAGCAGAGCTCTTTGTTGAAGAGTATACAAATTTCGGGAACGTACCCGGTGTATATTTGGGCTGTTCAAGGATGTTCAATCGGCGCAATTCGAGGGTCTCCCTTTTCTGACGAACTCGTAAGAGGACGCATCCTGCCATGACATCCGAAGGGACGAGATCGGTGCCCCGAAAAAGTGCGCTCAGAAGGCCTGAAATGCGAGAATATTCGAGAATATTAATAAATAATAGCAACATAGGACGAAAACCTCCCGAATTAGGTACATGGCATAATGCGTTCGTTTCATCCGGTCTTATCCTGTTATCAAAAATCTATCTCATGTTTCACAGGAAGGAGAGAAAAAGAGAATGACGATCAGCAAAAAGGACGTCCATTGTATCCATTTCAGACACCGTCAGAGATGTCGAGGGACGATGACGAGTTTCCAAGAATTACCAATAGAACAGTCCAAGAATTGTTTACCGACCGAATTACAAGGAATCGAAGGTACGCGTCAATCGCACGAAGTAAATACAATGGTCGCACGTAAATCCATACGTCATCTGGTAATGAATAATAATTAATTAACCTCAGGATCCAGAGTCTCCTCCCGTGATCCCATAGGTGAACACCGATCACCTTTTCACCGTAATCAAATATCATTATCAAAAAAAGGGGTATCACGTTGTTTGCATCGGCAAAATGTGAGATGCTTCGAAGTGGACCAACGGAGTTTCTTTGTGGAATTTTTTTTTTTCGCAGTACAGGACAACGAAGAAAATCGATTTCGTCGCCAGGGTCATAGGGCATGGTCGGAGGATTTTTTTTTTAAGGTGTCCGGGATGGCCGGGTACCTCGTGACGGTGTTAACTAATTAATTAATTGCACTGTCAAAGTGTCAGAGGATAAGTCGCGGTGGAGACTAATTTATTTCAACCTCACCCTCATGTACCTATGCCTCACCAGCAACATGTTGGAAGGTCTCGTTAGCGCTTTCGTCTCGCCTCATCCACCACAAAAATTTGAACCTCCGCATCCAGATCCTGGAGACCTTTCTGTGCTCGATAGAGTCCTCGACGCTGTCGCGAAGACCCAGAGAACCAAGGGGGTCGAAAACCAAAGCCAATCCCAAAATGGTCAGGCCGATCAGCACCCAATCGAAGCACACCAGAGCCTCCACCACAGCAATTGTGTATTGTTCGTTGCCGCACTGCAAATTGCGGCTCAGCATCCACATGGTCCCCAAAATGTTCCACGCCACCTCCGGAACGATCAGCAGTACCCTGGAATAAAATTATGAAGGTCCTTAGGAAGAAGGCGATGCTCGTGAAATTTTATTTTTCGAAAAAAAAAAAAAGATTTAATTTATTTAGCCTAGACTAGAACGAAGATCACATTCTTTTGTCGTGCAAAAATGAAATTTCACGAGCGTAACGTTCTTCATAATCAGGTGCTGAAGTTTCAAACGATTCGGGACACCCAGTTTGGAGTTTTATAAATATTTTGTTTTGTAAATATTTTGACGTTTCATATGTACAGAATGGCCCTTTCATATCACCTTAAAGATTAATCGATTTCTAGAGAAACCGACAAGTCTCAGCAGCGATAATTACTGTCATTTCATAATAATCCAACAGAAGGCCGCCAGCTTCGCGACTTGTGAACTCAAATGAATTTATTATTAATCGAAGTCTTCTCGTAGAACAGATAAACGGAGTTCTTCGGCAGATGTTGAAATTTATAGTTATTGTCCAGTTATGGAAGAGATTTATTTGACAACCGTAGGATACTCACTTGACGGTGAGCAGTGGCTGGACGTATCGTCGTGCGTAAGTGTCAACTATCGCACCTTGGGCACTATTTCTAACTATAGCGAGTAGGAGGAAAATGACGACCCCCAGGATCACCATCTCTCCGACGAGGAACACCCTGATCAAATCTCCTCCCGAAGGACACCTCCACGTCTCCTCGTAATACCTCACGCATGCGATTCCGATCAGAATGAACCTAAAAGAAAATTCCATTTAATATTCATAAAGGGTACCAAATGACACTTTTCATTAAAAAGAGAAATTGAAGTATGTCAAGCAGTCCTTTTCTACGGTACTTCCGACTCACGGATATGAGGTTTTAATTCAATTACCAAGTGATTCGAATAAAAATCTCGAACAATCCGGGATAGACGAGGTCGTCGGTTGCAGTCAGCCATTTTCTGCCGAAGAGTGTCAGAGCAGGCATTTTCCTACAATCAGACAAGCATTTATTGTACATTAACGTAAAAAAAAGAAAGAAAACAAGACATCTTAGTGGACTATATGTCCACAAACATAACACATTCTTATGGGCAACCGCATCTCGGAATGCAGTCCACCTCGTAAAATGCAAGCGAAGGAAATGTCGATTAAAAAAAAAAAAAATAAAAAGTGAAGGAAAAACGCGCGGCTCATGATTGTCACTCGGTAACATAAAACCGGTAATGAAACCGCAATGGCCGCGTTTATTATTTCTATTCATATTCCCGATCTATCATCTTTCAGCTCGTCAGGATCTCGAAAGCGTGGCGCGGGAAAATTCACTGTTTCCTTTGAAAATTGAAATAAAATTAGGGTTAAATTTGAAAAGAAAAGAAAAAACAAAAATTGGGACAAGTGACATGGTTTCTTCTCCCTTTTTTTTTCAGGAATACGAGTGGGTTTGGCGGGATTGTCAAAATGATTAGGGAATCGCGTGCGGAAAGGCGACCGCGAGAATGATAACGGAGAACGATCCCTGTTTCTTTTTTTTTTTCTCTCAACGTGTTACACTTTCAGCTCGCGTGACATTGGACATGTCGTTTAATTGGCGTGCAATGCATTCAAGGTTAACATTACAGGGGCGCCCGGTCTCCGTTTAATGCAAAGAACTTTCACCGAGGCGCTTTTCAAAGATCGTGGAAAAATCGAGGGCAGTTACGATTACCGATGTAATCGGATTACTTGGATTTCGTAGCAGAGTCTGCTCCATTTTTCGACACGACCCGATCATTACCTAATCGCTGCTTCCCGATATTTTATGTACAACGCTCCCGAGGTAATTGCACAAGACGGGTTACCCACTCGGCTGCAATGCGCGGTGGAGTAATTAGCAGAAATTACCGAAGAAAGTCACTTGTAATTGATTCATTTCCGGTAACTGTGTAGCAGGTGAAAAGAATGCAGGAAAAGTGCAATTACCGAAAATGCAGGAAAAGAGCACCCTTAATAAATCCAGATTTTCTGAGAATTTCTTTACCATTTTTTCTAAGATTATTTTAATTTCCTTCACTTTTTTTTCTTCTCTTCTTCCCCTTCAAGCGGAAATTCTAGAGATTCGGCCTTGTTGGGAAATCACATTCGTCTTGTTTCCAGATCAATGAACGAGCAATAATTTCGACGATTAACCAAATCGGAATATTATCAGAAATCCTCAACGTGATAGATTGCTGGCCAAAGTTCGCTCGACTGTCCAATACGTTTGTTTATTACAGATTAAAGTCGCGCCAATTTGCCCAGTCAATTGGCAGACGTTCTTCACAGTTTCTTTTTTTCACACTTATCGACATGTTTTCTTTCGACACTTTCGGAATTAATCTGTATCATTCGCGACAATGTTAACATTTGACCCTGTCTCGAAAATCGTCTCTCCTGAAGACCGGAATTACCGAAATTTCATCCCGTTTCGTATTTATTTCAAATCCCCTAGAGCGTATATTTAATTCCAGATGAATTCGAGTTATTTCACATTACTTCAATCGACATCTTTCATAATCGATAACGTGATACAGTTTTCGATTATGTAAATGGACTCGATGTAGTCGATTTCATAACGATCTCGATTGGACGGAGCCTCTCGTCCGGAGTATCTCTCAATATCTGAATGTAAATAATTCATTACTATTATATAACTAATTAAATTGACAAGGAGGACCTACGTGTGATTTAAGAAAAAAAAAATAATGATATCTAGGAGACGTGGTAGAACGAATTATGGAAGGTACATTAGACACGATGGAGTAGTTATTTTCTTTTAACTAAAATTGACAAATAAGTCGGCTGCAATATTGCGACAATTGCATCAATTCCCTCGAATGATCCTAATTCCTCAATTTGTGTCATTTCTGCGAAGGCCAGCGGAAGTATTTTCGTTTCCGCTAATGTATTACCATATTTCGCGCAGGACACGCAAATGCGTGAGTTTCGACACACGTACTGAGTACATCTCGGTAATGTAATTGCCCATTAACGGCGCCGTATAATTACAGGAAAAAATCGGGGTTAGGGGGGAAATTAATACGGGAGGAAAGGTAACAACGAGTGCATCGCAATAACAAAACGAGCGGCATAAAAGAGCAACTAACTCGCGTCGAATTTGCATAATAAATGTTTAAACGTGAAATTTCATGGGGAAAAGAAAAATGCCATGGTAAAAAGAACAAGAAACGGGTTTGAAGGTTCCTTAATACTTCTTCTGCTGTTCTGACGCATAGGGATTTCTGATAGCAGTCACTTCGTTCTTCCAAAAGACCAGAAGAACCGACTAAAAAATATTCAAGATCCTCCTTATTGATCTATGACCATAACAAGAAGTCAATTGGTCAACTATCCGATCGAATCCGAAAGTTTCTGGGCGGACATCCTTGGGTCTATTAATGAGAGAAAATCCGAAATAATTCCGTCTCCTCCGAAGACGTCGTTTAAATTATTTCTAATCAATTTTAGAGTTATTCATTACCTTCAATATTTGTTAGTCCACGTAATAATCGTGTTCTGTGGTTGAACCAATGGAAAACAAAAAAAGAAAAAATTGAACGATTTCACAGAATATTTTTCTATCTACACTAATGACCTATGAGAGTCGCCGTGCTCGGACCATGGAACAGAGAAAGCAACAGGAGAAAGTCTCCTCGTGGCGCATAACCGAACTCTTACGATGAACCCCAAGGTGTTCAACTTCCAACTGACGTAATCTCGTTGTTGTGCGTTAAGAGACGAGTGAGAGGCTTACGTTAGGGAAACCTGAGAAGAAAAGTCCATAAGCCGACCCTGTATTCCTATCTCCGACGTCTAGCCATAATTACTCACGTGGAAAAAAAAAACAACATGACGAAATTATTAAGATTCCCGTAGGTTGAACCATAAAATAAATGCATCGAGCGTAAAGTCGCTCCAGGAGGACGGAATGTGCCGTTGAAGTGAGAAGGATGGATACGAGCCACGTGGATAAGAGTAGGATGCAGCGATATGGTTTTTCGACGTACTGCATTCGTATCTCCGTCGTCTGACCATAATTATTCACGTGGGAAAAAAAAAAAAAAAATACATGGTTACATCAATGAAATTCTCATAAGTTGAACCGTAGAATATAATCATGACGTGGACGACTGGAAATATATTTTTTTTAATAAATGAATCCAGCGTAAAGTCGCTCCAGGAGGATGCGCCGTTGAAGTGAGAAGGATGGATACGAGCCACGTGGATAAGAGTAGGATGCAGCGATATGGTTTTTCGACGCACTGCATTCGTATCTCCGTCGTCTGACCATAATTATTCACGTGGGAAAAAAAAAAAAAAACATGGTTAAATCAATGAAATTCCCATAAGTTGAACCGTAGAATATGATCATGACGTGGACGACTGGATATATATTTTTTTTTAATAAATGAATCCAGCGTAAAGTCGCTCCAGGAGGATGCGCCGTTGAAGTGAGAAGGATGAATACGAGCCACGTGGATAAGAGTAGGATGCAGCGATATGATTTCTTGACACAGCAGAGAGAGGCAAACCATGACCCGAGAAATTGTTTCGAGGAACAGGAAAAGTTGAGACCTTGCACCTCTGCATGCAGGAGATGGATTTATTTACGGACAAGTGATTCCTCGTAGGACATCAACTGCGTCAGAAAGCGTTTTTGCCGTGAAATTACTCAGCACCGTACGAGTCGTCATTTAATCTGCGACATCGAATGCATACGCGACTTGCATCTACATCTAATAATAGAAACAAAAATTTGATCCATCTAATAAAATCGATCGACCGCATCTGATTACCATAAAAAAAATCTGTGTAAGCACTCCGAGTTCCAATACACTCGACCAAATTCGTTATTAATTGAAAATATTTAATAAAAGTAATTAAATTTTCTCCAATACCAGGCGCGATCTACCACAATGTTTGATGTAATTAATCAATGAATTTTATCACGTCAAGTGAATATTTCTCCGTGTGGGTAAAGTTTGGTCCCTCCGCGGCATTTTTCGGCATTTTCTTTTGCGTTACCTCGGTGTGAGAATTTATATTCCCTTCCCTTCTAATTGATTATGCAATACTCGGCCAATATTCGGATAAACATGCGCTAATCGCGTTTGACACTGAACTTCTCATTTATTTTCCCGTCGAGCTCCGATTACGACGTCGTCTTGACCTCGCGCAAAAAGAAATCTCCTGATAAGGAGATAACTCCGAAGTCGTTCCGATATTTCGACTGAACTGTCACCTTTTCGGGATATCCTCGTTATCGGGTGACATTTCACGGTTTATTGCCGCGGGATGTGAGGATCGTCAGATATTTATAACCATCCGAGAGATTAATTTTCGATGCAGAATTTCGAATTTCACGGCGTATCGATTACACGGTGTTAAAAGTGATTTCCCTTTATTTACCTTTTCCGATCCTTGCAAGAACTTAGGGAGCCAACGAGTCATGATCGATACGAAGGAAACCTTGACATTTTCGGTGGATATTTACAGTTGCCATTTGCGCATCAATAAAGCGAAACATTCGACTCCGACCAGCGCTCTCATTACGGCCATTTGAGGTAGGAAAAATGTCGACCTCAATAAATAAACAAATTCCGTCTGATGGTTTAATCGATACGAGGTAACAACAATTAGCGTTTTTCGGGTAAATTATTGTTCCTGTCCTGTATTTTATCAACTCTGACCTGAATAATATTCATTTCCCATATTTTCCACATATTCTGCGGTTGACTAAATCCTCTCCCCAGACTTACAACTATGGCCTGACATTTCTTTCAAGATATTATCGGAGAAAGTGTTGAAAATAAATTCTCTATTAAAAATCACAGGTGTACTTCCCGTACTTATCGACTTGGCTATTTTTTCGCGAGGATAAAATCGTTGTAAAATAAAGTTTGCGAATATTCAGATTATTTTTTTTACACGTTAAGTGAACGGGGCATTAATTATCGAGTTACCCAATTTCGTAGCGTGCCCGGTTGGTACCAGTAAGGAGTAAAGCGGAGTACTCGCGAACTTGTAAAATAAAGTTTGCGAATATTCAGATTATTTTTTTACACGTTAAGTGAACGGGGCATTAATTATCGGGTTTCCCAATTTCGTGGCGTGCCCGATTGGTGCCAGTAAAAAGTAAAGCGGAGTACTCGCGAAACTCGGTCGTTCGTCGAGTACTCGATGCGTAACGTGTTCGGGTCAAACGTGGCTTTCCACCTTTCACGTGCATTTTCCGTACCGAGTCTCTCCAACGACCAGCTAGCCTGCACTCAGGTTAACGCTAATTTGCTCAAGGAAAGGTGCGAGGTGTGTCACAAATTTCATTGGGTCCCTTTTAAGCCGTAAATGCAATAATGAAAACACAGTACATAACATCAACCAAAGAACAACTAGTTACAAGTACCTGTCTTAAAAGTTGGGTATTTTGGCGTGTAAGTTCGGGCATCAGATTTCCCGTAGAAAAATATTTTCTTGACTTATCAAAACATTCGATAATTCACCCATAAAACAATGTGACGTCGGGGCAATAAAACCAGGGATTTTTTGTAAACACTTTAGTTGATCGAAATAAACGAGTACGGTCACGTGACCTGATATTCGGTCCACTCAAAAACGGTTTTCGAAACGAACTGATTTTCTAGGATGAACAATTTCTTTCTGCGGGTACTAGTTATTGTTTTGAGGCTTGCTTATCAAAATTCCTCAGGCATGTCTGCGAGTTCAACGACTCTGTTCTCGGCTAAATATGCTCTCATTTTGAATTAACCGCTAAACCTTGTTCAGCCGTAAGGACGCATTATAGTAGAGCACAATTCCTTTCACCAGGCATCGAGTGCCGCGAACGGGACTCTTCTCATTCACCTCGCAGGAGAAAAATCCCAGGAAAAGAATGGGCTTTCCTACTTACTGTCCGTGATAACGGATAACCACTCGAAGCACTCCGGGTCGGGATGAGATTCCAGTTTTGCGTCCACTAGGAAAGTCCACGAAAGGCGTTGAAGTCCCCAGGAGAAAATGTTACCACTTCCAGACAATATCAATTCGTGTTTATCTGAAATATCTAACTCGAGTCGACCGCATCGGCCCTTTTCAACGTCTTCGATATCCGCAGCGTTGAAGTCTCCCGATCAAAGATGGCGGCCGTACTTCCGTATAGTGGATATCCAGGACCGTTCAGGAGTCATGGACCGCCGTAAAATGCACATGGAGTCTCGCTGCAGCATCGATAATTAATCCTGGGTGCATTCGAGTATTGTCGTAGAATCGCACGTGTACTGCACGTTCACAATGGCGGATTCTCGGGGTGGGAATTTCTCGGTGAGGGACGAGGGGTTGAGCGCGAGTGGCGGTGAAGTCTCTCGTCGGAGGATATTTCGTGAATATTTACAGACGCCGGTCGTCGGGGGATCCGAAGCGACGTCGAAGGATATCCCGCGAATATTTACAGACGCCGGTCGTCGAGGGGTCCGAAGCGACGTCGAGGACTTACGCCGGAGGATATTCCGTGAATATTCACAGACGCCGGTCGTCGAGGGGTCCGAAGCGACGTCGAGGTCTCTCGTATGAGGATATTCCGTAAATATTCACAGACACCGGTCGTCGGGGGGTCCGGAGCGACGCGTGGTCGAACAGTCGGAGAGTCTCCGACGTCGACTCGACGACGGTCGGAGCGCGACTTCCGGAAGACCGTCCAGCGGCGCGCTTATATGCAACCCGTGGTCGGACGTAACGTCGCGGTCTACCGAGGACTGTATGGACTCATGAGTGGAACTCCGGTGGAACTCTCGACCCTCGAGACCTCCCCCGGCCAGCCCCTCGCGCCTCACTCCGACCGGCCGACCCTGCGACCGCTAACCTCAAAACGTGGCGGACCCATTCGAAGTTGCCGCTTTTAGAAATGCCGAGTCTCGAACTCGACTTCCTCCGACGATCCGCTTTGAAAGGTTCGCCCTCGCGGACGTTAGCTCTTCACCGTTTGGGAGTCGACTCGCGTTTGTGCGTGCGACCAGTTTCGAGATCGGCGCGCGAACGCTCCTCGCGCCTTCCAGCAGCCGCGCCGAGTCGGGGAGACTCGTTCACCTTGCTCCGCGACTCCCTGCTCGGCCGACCACGTGACCGCTGGCCAATGGCCGGCCGACCACGTGACCGCCGGCCAATGGCCGGCCGGCTTTCCCCTGGGCCGGCGCGCCCGCTACAGGAGAAAGCACGCTCCAGCGGCGGCGCGGAGAATCTCGAGGGAAACCCTCTTGCGTCTCCTCCAGCCTCCGGGGAGGAAACTATCTTTCCTTCCCGTTTTACCCTTCTCCAAGGAACATTGAACTTAATTCATAGAAATTATACATTTTAAAAGGACGAGCCACTAAATCCCTGTTTATTAACGACGGTCTCTTCGTTTCCTACCCAGTATACACGATTACGAAGAGGCTCGATCGGGCTTTTTGTTTGCCAATAAGTTCACTCGGTACAGTTCTGCGTCTCCAGTTCAACGTTTGTGTACTCCCCGAGCACGTTCCTGTGGATGCATCATACATTGCGATTTAAGGGTGCATGTTCGCGAAAATTTCGGGCCTCCCGTTCTGCATTAGCGCATTTATAATTTCTTGCTTTCATGGTTTCAATTCCCAACATGCGCTCGGCCCATCATTAGGATGTCAAAACTTTTTCCCCTAACTGTGATTTTAACTTCCATTTCAGATTTATCTCATTTTATTTATTATTTCGTCCGTTGATGAGTGCAAGGAATGCGAATTAGACGTTGCCCGTGTCCACTTCATGGGGGAATCAGTTCTGAGGTGGCAATTGGCTTCTCAGTCGGCTGCAGGAAATCGGACGAGTAGTCAAAGAAGAACCGGATGTGCGACTCCTATTCGATGCTACTCTCGCTGTCATTATCATAAAGACGAGTCATGAGTTCTTGCTGACTGCAATTTCTCGCATTACCCGGCGCGAATTTTAGCGGCATTAAGGCCGCTGGGAATTTCGCGACTTTCCACAGGTCGGCGGTTCAAGTACGCACGTGTACACGTATCTTGTACATACGTACTCGCTGTTCATAGACCGATGATTCGTGATTTAATTACAATCACGAATGAGCGTTCCGCAAGATTTACTTTCCCAGGACTCGAGGACGTTCCTCGATCCTCCTTTTGTTTCGTTCTTATAGAACAATTACGCATCCATGTGCTTCCAGTGCGTTTAACGATATTCCCGTCACGATCGTTCGCTAAATTACGGTGATCTTTCCTTTGGCTACGAACCGCTTGGCAGAATTCCCTTCTAGATTGGATACCGCGATTTCTCAGATCGCCGTGACGAGAATTGGGATCTCACGTTGATGTGACATCTCAGGTGGGAGAGATTAACGATCACGCCGAAAAATCTTGTACTTTCTCGGAAATAAAAAATTCCCCCTGCTTTCTCCTAGATGTCTCGAACTCTGGCTCCTCGGATTTCGTGGATAACGCGTCTTTTCGGCTCTGAAAAAATTTTCCAAATTGGACTTCCAAGTGCGTCAGTGATCTTTTGATTATACCTCGGCGCATTAAGGTCGGTAATGGACGTGTACATGACGTTGAAAATCGGAGTGGAACGTTGTTTTATATGGAGATGATTGATGACATACTGGAGACTGCCTGAAGGTTTCGTGAGACATTGTTTTCCATCTTCGATTCGATGAATTACTCCGTAAGAGCGTCACAACATTCCGCACTTTATCGTGGATCGATGTTTCCATCTTCGGATGTATTTACGCGATCGACTGATCTGTTGTGTCAGGTAAATGGGAACAGGTGTCTGTTGGAATCGTGAGGAGCGATTAAGTAAACGGCGAACCATGGAGAAACAGAAAAAAGTGATAATGATTACTAAGAAATATTTCTCGCAATTCGATACGAGGTATATTGGAAATGTGAGTTGTCGACAGTGCACGCGTTGGGCTTTCAAAATTGATTTCAACTTTTTTCCCCTCACTCGTGTCGTCCCCGGAGACCTGGCTTGAGACATCAACAATCACCTCTGCATACCAGAAGTTCATATCAGCGAATTACGGCTAAATAATCGTCGATTCAACGAATCGTTTGGTGGTACGTCCGTCAGCAAGATGCCGGATCGAAGTTCTCGCGGCTAGACCGCGTTACCCAACGTTTTCTCATAAAGAATGATTAATATTTCGCTTACGGTCAACTGGCCCAATCTGAAGATTTTGTCTCGCAGGATACACAAGGGATTTGACTGCCGGAAACCGTGGCACGAGGGATTACCTGTGACGCACTTCTCTTCATCCAGCTGCTTTTTTCTTTTCTGGAGACCCCAGAATTCGTTCCTCGTCGAATGGATCCGGATCTGGGAATGCCGGGTATGAGGGACGAACAGAAAGTGAAAGACGCATTTCTACGTTATATACCGATGGTACTTCGAGAACTGTAGCGTCGATTCTACAGTCTGTACATACGTGACATCGCCATCGGTTCCAGGAGTCCGAGTTCTTTCTCGTTTCCCAGAGAATTCTGCATCCCCTCCGTCCCTCGATTCCATGAACTGTGCTGCATCCACTGAGGTGGATATATCTGCAATATCAATTTTTAATCATTTCCCATGTACCGATTGTGACAATTTTCTTTCAGGAATGAAATTAATTAGACCGCGCTTGGAAATCCGGATAAATGTGCAATACTGCGGATCCTCGGATCGTAGGTCGTCGTTTTGCTAGCTTTTAGATTTCCTCGCGGAGTGATTTTTTTTTAATACGAAGTCGAAGAGGCTATATGCCAAAGCGGCCCCTTAAGAAGAGGGCAACTACGAAGGCCTTCCGTTCTTTCGGACGGATAGCCATCCTTTTTTTGGCCACGATCGATGAAGAAGAGACGGCGAACGATCATTTCGATTATATTCTGTCGATCCTACGTTTAAATGGATTTTTTTCCTACTTAGTGATATGGAAAACACCAGTTCGGTCAATTTAACGAGATCGATCCACCATTAATACTCTTGACTTTTAATAACTTATTCGCTGTCTAATCTCAGACTTCCTGGATTTTTTATAATGTTCCGTTTTGCCTGTTCTTTTGTGTCCTTTTCCAGGTTTAGGTCGATCACCCCAGGATCCATTTCTTTTTCAAGTCGTCATGGGTATATATCATGAACTACCGTTCATCGCCGCAGATCTTGCTGGACTTGTTGGTAGACGTTAAAAGATGTTAAACGATGTTTGTTACCACAGAGATGAATTGGGAGCAGAGATGAGGAGGATCTCTGAATGGGGCCGCCATTGGGGGGTATCAGGCGGGAAGTGCGTTAGCCGTCCACATCCTCCACCAGGGAGCAGCACAGGACGCCACGCGCGAACCTGCCTTCCCTGGCAATCTCCCAACTCGTCTCTGTGCATGATTTAACGTCCTTAGTAACGTAATCTGGCAGTGCCTTACCAACTGTGGGAAATTCTGTTCGATGGTATACCAAAGGTACACAGGTACGTACTCGGAAGCGAACCACAGAGTTTGCTCACCTGTTGATTCTCGAAAGTTCGCCGCTCGGCCGACAGATGGCGCCGAACTGCCGAATCGTCTCGTCCTTCGAAGAGCACTCTTGACATATCGCAGTTACAGGTGCAGCACTTGAGCCCAAAGCAGCATCCCTGGACGGGTAAAGTATATAAGTCCATAAAGCCATAATTTCCTTGTAAAATCCCGTAAACATGTACCACCCAAAATAAAACCTCTACCCCCTGCCTGTTTTTCATTACGATTCCCATGTTCCGCCTTTACAACCTCTTGGTCCTTTTCGTCCGGCCATCTAATACGGGAAACTTGCTCGTTTTCGCAAGAGAGAAGATACCAGGCCGCAAGGCCAGCAAGATATAAATCTTCCATCACGGCGGCGAGATGACAATTTCGCGTGCGAGAAAGCCTTTCGTGATCGCCGACACCGATCGCAGTCGGGCACGTCCAACTTTCTTTTGGCCGGTGCATAATACACAATCTTGCCGCGATTCGCAATTCCCATAAAACGGCAAGTTCCCGAGACTCGCAAACTATCGCAAATCTACAAACGAACGCAATAATGCATCCACGACAGTCCTTCAAATCGTCCACCCCCAGTAGATTGCGATTAATGCAATCCGAGTGAAAAAGGTATCTCCATAACCCAGCAACTTAACCAATAGCAACGTAGGCTGAAATCGAATATGCCCCTTCACCAAGGGTCGAAAAAAAAAAGAAAAAGAAAATGCGATCTGCGCCATTTTCTCCCGTACTTTCCGTATTCGATCAAGAGGGGTTGAAATCATTGCTGGGAAGTTTGCGTACAGGGTTTCGTGTTTGAACGCGGCGCTCGTCAACCCCATAGCCAGCGACCACGTTCATCTTGTCCTCCCTCGCCAGCCCTACAATTGCCATCCCCCTAAACCGATCTTCCTTCTCGAAGGAGTTTTGAATTTCCATATAATTCGCGCACTCAATGCGGGCTGCACAGTAATAAACCCTTAGCTTGCATCCCTTTGACGAGTTTTGCGTCCCACCCTCGACCTCGACCCCCGCCCTACGCGCGACTTACGATCCCGAATCCTCCTTATCCCAGAACAGTGCATCACAATTCCCGCCCGCCCCCTTCCTCCAAAAAAAACATCCCCTATCAGCCCTTCCATAAACGCATCTATTATTCCCTCAGAGACCAATCGCCAAGAAATGCGAGAAAAATACAGAAAAAAATCATTCCCATTCCCCTCCCCCATGAAGCCGTCTTAAAAAATGTCAAAAGCCCCTCTACGTCCATTAACACCTCCAAGCAACCCCTCGTGATTTTCGAAATTGACGAGACCTCGAGAAGGAAAAAACT